CAACGCTGAGTGCAACCCCTCTTCTCGACCTTCATCACCTTATCACTCAACTGATCTTTTACCTTTTGACTCAAAATGACCGTCACAGAGACCCCAATGGCTAGACGCAAGAACGACGACCCTCCGCGTTCTCACATGGTGGGACGACTCCACCCCTCCGGGTTGAAGATCACCATGGAGGTCAACAACTACTTCCTCAACAACTGGCCCTTCCCTGACGAGCGAACCAAGCTCCAGTTTGTTGCTGAAGGACTCCCGACATGGCACTTATGCCAGTACCCGACGGCCCGCGAGGACCGGGTCGGGGCTGCTTGCCGCTTCATGGTAATGCTCTTCCTTGTCGATGGTAAGTGGAGACTTCCTTATGCCCTTATCCGGAGCAGTTTCTGATACTTTCAATTTTGTAGACTTGCTAGAGCATCTTTCTCTGAAGGAAGGCTCATCATACAACGAACGATTGATCTCTATCGTCAAGGGCGAGACAGCGCCTGCTCAAGACTCTCCGATCGAGAAGATGGTACTGGATATCTGGGAAGATATGAGGTCCATTGCCAAGAAGCTCTCGGATGACATTGAAGAGCCTACCTTTGCGTTTTGGCGGTCTCAAAACGACAAGGATCGCCTGGCGAAGAAGAGTGTAGCAGAATACCTCAAGTATCGAGAGCTGGACGTCGCTTCGGCGTAAGTCTCATTACAGATCATATCAAGGTTCTATATTATCTAACCTTTCACAGGGTACTTCTAGCCACTCAGCGGTTCCAGGACGGAATCAGCCTCAGCAAAGAGGAGCTCGCCTCAGTTGCTGACCTCGAACTCAACTACACGCACCACGTCTCCGTCATCAACGATGTCATGAGCTGGGATAAGGAGCTTCGCGCTTCTAAAGACATTGCTGCCGAGGGGTCCATCGTCAGTAACATTGTGCAAACTCTGGCTGATGAGAGTGGCCTTGACTACGATGGTGCGAAGCGGATCTGCTGGGTCATGATCCGGGAGTGGGAGAGACAGCACGATGCCATGGTCCAGCAGAGGCTTCAAGAGGGTTGCTCAGATGCACTGAAGACCTATATGGAGGGTATCGAACTTCAGATGAGTGGTAATGAGTTGTGGAGTCGAACTACGCACCGCTATAACGCTCCTCACCTCAAAAGTTGTATTTAGAGATGTAGTTTCCTTGAGTTAGGTATCTTAGTTCACGTCACATCATTAATACATGTTTTTTACATGATGTCTTCCACTGTAGTTAGAACCAATTCGAAAGTTGTCGTTCAACTCATGCAAAGTCTCCACGAATCAGAGCGTCCGAAAGTAAATGGAGTCTGGAGGAGGAATTTCAAGTTTCCTTCTTTTATCATGTTCTTTGCAGAACGGTAAATATGAAGTTTTAAAACCGAAAACTCGCAGCATCCACCTCTGAAGACTGCGAACGTACCCTAAACGTTGTTCGGTAGCAGTGAAAGTTCGCTTCGTCATCCGGTTATTGACCTTCGTGCCAAGACTGGCTTGGCGATGCCAAGATATGTCAGGTCCCGTCAAATTCGACGTCGTCCATCTCACAGACTCCAACTACCTTAAAGGATGACTCGATAGCTAAATGGGACCTTTTGACTGTTGTCAATCTTATTCCTTCTCAAATCTTAGTTCCAATCGATTGGGACCCGAAACAATTCGGCAATCTATACCCGAATAAAACAACTCCTCGTGTTCGGAAGGCCGGCATCATACCTGCGTGGAGGCGAAGGCACAGGTTTACCCGCATATGCTCACAAGCCTGCTGCGCCCTGATTGTTGAGCAACGCATTATACATATGTACCCGTGATCAGAACACGCCTCACGCTTGACCATTCAATTCCTTTCTTTTCACAACGAACAGTTCGGTATTAATTACGAGGGCAGACTTGAACACACAACATTGAAGGATATAGAACATTTGCACACAATCGTTCTCCAAAATCTCGTGATATCAACTCCTCTTCATGAGTCCATCCTAATCATTCGCAACCGCACTCTTCCCACCACAGGAAAAACTTCCTGTAGTCAATTCCGTCCAAACAATGGCCTCAATTTCAAGGACGCGTCTTCAACCTACCGCCCTTGCATGAACACCTGGCAATCGCCAATCACACCCTCTTTTGCCCCCATGAGACGCCCCGGCTTCGACGGTAAAGGTCTGATTCCCGGATGGTGCCGGTAACTGCACGCTGAGCCAAGGCGAAATGCTGATTTGAGGAAATTTCCCCAATGTTTACCCCGGACACCCACCCCCCGTCCTGCAGTCAAGGGCTTGACTCTACATGACACAAGACGTTTCCCCACCGAATAAACAAGTCATTAGCGGACGGAAAGCTTCAACCTTAGTAGACAAGCTTGTTTCTGGCCGGAGTCTTCTCTTTTGCGATGCACCTGGATTCGATGGTGTTAGCGTGGGCAATCTCACCGGTTCTGGCTCGCAATTTTCCTTTGGAGCAGAGTTTCCTCTACGAGAGCCGGGTGAGCATCGGCAGGCCAGCTCGAGGGGTCGATGAGCTCCATTCCAGGAAGAAGCTGCCATTCGCGGAATGACCGTGGTTTCTAGTCCGTCCATCAATGTTACCTTCTTGTACCTCGAATCTCATATGTCGAGGACTTACCTGAAGCTATGCCTGAAGTCCGTAAGCGTATTCCGCAACCCGTGGAGACTGAGTATCATCTCGTGATCGTAGTCATCCCTGTTCCGTAGACGGAAAAGCATCCGATCGAGAGCTAGGAGGTCTTGTATAAGAAGATGGGCAAGAAACATGGATTTTCGGTTCTGGATTGCTCGGCACCCTCTATCCTCGACCTTGAACCCTCTTGGCAGTCCCGAAAGCTCCCCTTGATACCCTTTCATCGACCAATTGCACACAAACTCGCAAGATGAAGATTACCTCTGCCTTGGCCACGCTTTTTGCCCTTGCGGCTGCGACCCCGACCCCTACCGTCGACCACGTCGCCGAGAAGGCCCACCTCGTGAAGCGAGCCTCTATCTCAGACAAGGCGACTCTCGGTTATGCCACTCTGAACGGCGGGTAAGTTTAGTAGGGAGGGATCTTGAAATAAAGCAGAGCTAATGAAGCTTGTAGAACATCGGGAGGATCTGGTGGCACGGTCACCACTGTCTCTACCCTTGCCGAATTCACTGCCGCTGTCAACGAGAAGGATACCGCCGCGAGAATCGTGGTTGTCAAGGGTACCATCAGTGGCACTGCCAACGTTCGCATCGGTAGCAACAAGTCCGTCATCGGAGCATCTGCTGGTGCAGGTGAGAACCTTTCATCCCTCGTACTTTTCGCACACTAATTAATAATGTTTTCTCCCTACAGGATTCAACGGAATTGGACTGTACGTCCGCCGCATGTCCAACGTGATTATCCGCAACATCAAGTCTACCAACGTCCTCGCTTCGACTGGTGATGGCGTGAAGATTGAGGTGAGCAACTTTCCCCGACGTGCCATGGTGTGTCCAACAATATTGATGGATTTTCTCTCCTTAGGAAAGCATTAACGTCTGGATCGACCACTGCGAGTTCTCTTCAGCCCTCATCTCTGACAAGGACTACTATGACGGTCTTGTGGATGCTTCCCACGCTGCCGACTACATGACCATCTCCTAGTACGTCTTCTACTCAGCTGAAATAGGAGCTACCTGCTGACCTTCATCAGCACATACTTCCACGACCACTGGAAGACCTCTTTGGTTGGACACAGCGAGAACAACGGCGCAGAGGACAGCGGTCACTTGCGCATTACCTACGCCAACAACTACTGGGCTAACTTTGGTTCCCGCGGTCCGTCTCTGCGCTTCGGCACTGGCCACATCTACAACTCCTACTACCTCAAGTATGTTTCTCGTCGATGATTAGCATTGACATCACCCTTCCGGACTGGAATATACATACAACTAACACCATATGTCTAGCGGGGACTCTGGAATCAACACTCGCCAGAACGCACAGGTCCTGATCCAAAGCAACGTCTTCAAGAACGTCACTGTCCCCATTACTAGCCAGGACTCCGACATCGTTGGCTACGCTGTTGCCATTGATAACGACCTTGGCGGTGCTTCCAACTTGGCTCCCGTGGGCACCATGAACGCCAACTCCCCTCCTTACTCCTACAGCCTGCTCGGCTCCGCCAACGTCGTCGCTACTGTCCCCGGACAGGCCGGCCAGAAGCTTACCTTCTAGAAAGCGAAGTAGCGGTTTTAGGAGGCTCATCAAGGCTTCGGAAGGCATTGAAGGCTTGAGAAGCTGAAAGTTGTACATAATTGGTTCCGAACTTGAAATCAGTTTCTGAATCGGGGACGGAGAGAAGTCTGGAAGCACATAGCATTTACTTCATTGTACATATAATGCAAGATTAGGTAAAGTTTTGAGAGACGTTCCCGTACTTATTTTCTGATGCGGTCCATGTACTCATCACGATGATGTACCATCGCATCAAAATAAGAGATAGGTAGATCACGATTGGGGTTTGAGAGACTCGTGATTATTGGCATGAACCAAGTCGAACTGTTTGACATTGTGCAAGGGTGCTGCTGGCAATGAAAACGCGCTACCAACATATGTACAGGAGTTTTGAAGGGTATCTTCGTTCCCAGTCTTGTGTATGTCTCAGCCATTTATGTGTCTAATCATGCTACTGCTCATGTGTCCTGAGTCCTATATGACATACCGATCGAGACCAAGTGCTCAATCAGTAGACACAGCAGGATCACCATGTCACTGTCGCTCAATTACGCACGTCATGTACCATATCCCGCGCAGCTCTTCCGGCTGACTGGCTGGGGAAAATCAAGCTCATAAACATATATCGCACTCTTGACTCGTAACGCTTCGTGTTTGTCGTATTGCTTTTCGGGCGCGCGAAGTGATCTCACACGTCATCGTTCTTGCTAACGACGTGGCAACCGTTACCGTTCTTGAGATGACGGCGCGCTGAGGATAGCTCGCAGACTTTTGGGTCTGTGGAATCAGTTCCTTCATACCATCTTCAGCTCCTCTTGTGGTGCGGGATCTGCTGGAGGCAATTGAAGAGGCTGTTGAGGCGGCGGGAACATCAAAGGCTGCTCAGCAGCCCTTTGCTCAGCGGCCTTTTGCTGTTCTGCCTTTTTTTGATTCTGTTGTGCTTGGAGTTTCTGGAGATTCTCATGATCCTCGACCTTTTGCTTTTGTTCCTCTGGGGAGAGAGAGTTGAAGGCGGCGATATCTTGATCCCACTTAATGACACACTCAATATTCCAGTTGCACCTCTCCACTTCGCCGAAGATAGGGTGCCTGAAGCGAGGGTGACGACTGGGCCAGTTTGAGGCGTGGTAGTGGTGCTTGATGAGAGCGCCCCTGGAGTTATGGTTTCCAGAATCGGAGTGTCCCTGGCCAGCGGCGAAGGACTCGACGTTGCGGACGAGGATATTGCTGACAACTTTTGACTCGTCGATGTCGTGGAATGTGTCCCAGGTAATCGGCCCGGATCGAGAACGCGCGGTCATGACATCCAGGACGGCTTTGGTGAAGGCAGAGGGGCCAGTGCCACTGATGACCTCGTCAAAATCAAGCTTGACTGCTGAGACGGGCACACGTTGGTTCTTAGCTACATCACTGAGCCATGCCATGATGTTTTCGACAAGCTTCAGCATGACGGGATGGCCAGGTCGCGACATGAATGTCCATTGACAGAAGGACATGGATTTCTTGCCGAGAATCGGGTGGTCCTTGAAGTTCGGTTGGTCAATCTCGACTCCAATGACAAGATCCAGGTCGGTCTCGTTGTATCTTTCCGGGATCCATCGGCTGACAGGTCGGAGGTCCTCGACATCAATATCGGCGTAGACTCCTCCCTCGGCATACATGATCATGTAGCGGAGGAGGTCAGCTTTGATGATGGTGGCATTCACGTTGCGGTACATGTCGACGATGTCCGGGCGATCGAACCCGTCAGGGCCATAGTGTTCTTCGACGTACTCCATGTCGTTGTTGTCGGTGAGAACTTCGTACCGATACCCGGGATTCTTGTCCGTCCAAGTCCGCGCAGTGAGAATCTGCTCGGCCTCGAATGAGAAGGGTGCAACCTTCCAACTCTGCCATATCTTCTTGGGGAATCCACGAGTGCTTGCTTTTGAGTGACGGCCGCCACGCTTTGAGAGGTGTACAGGTTTAGGCATCGATCCGAACAAGTCGATGTTGAGAACGAGGAGTATTATGCAGACACAAGCGATGTACAAGGGCAGACATCTCCTTAGTTGTGTTGGGACTCTGTTTCTAAACAAATTTGCCTTGGTCGAGCCCGTAGGGCTCAATGGACTCAATGGACTCATGATGGGTGAAGACATGTTAGCCGAAGTCGTCCAAAGAAGTGGAGGTGTTCGACCGAAGAAGCTTTTGAACCAAGCTTTGGGCAAAGATGCGACAAGCATTAGATGATAAGAACAAGACGTGTGGGATGCATGTCGAAATTTGAGGAGATTTCTCCATGCAGGCACACAACCCCAGAGTATCCTCATCGCCGAGGCGGGGATTACCCTACAGTTGCTCCGACCAATTCCCCCACTCTCCTCGCTTATCAGTTGCACATCATTGTCACGAGCCGGGTGCCAGGGTAAAGAAGGAAAAACGCCGAGGTCGCCAAAGTAAAGTCGCATCGTGTTCATCCCGTCTGTGCCTTACTGACGCCACTGCCTTGCCTCAGTTATCTGATTAAGTTTTGGGACCTTCTGTGAGTGTGAGTGGCTGTCCTTACTAATCTTCGATACGAGCAAGGCTGGAACTGGAGCTCAACGGTTCCTTTTCTCATTCGTGCAGCCGGAAAGCGGCGAACAAGCCACCATCTTGCAATACAAAGAGTCAGACAGCTAGAGGATCGAAGCCATTCAGGCCAGTGGGGATGTGATGAGGACCACTCGTTGCGGCCGGCCGCATTTCGCGCCATAATAGCGCCGGGACGTTGAGCTTGTTTGAGTGTCTATTGGGCCGATCCTGGACACCGGCACCAACGGCTACGATAGTCAGGGGAGGCAAAGGCGGTGGAACCTTCCCAATCAGGAGGGTTTGCAGGAGGATAATGAAACTTTCACGAGGGGATTCTTACAATCTCGAACTTCTCAACCGGCCGAGTGGGCGAGTCGGAGAAGCGGTTTGTGTGTCGGATGACAATCCCAAGCTAGGCCGACTGAATGCTACGCCGCTTGTGATAGCTGCCAGGGACGCCCGGTCTGATTGCAACCGACGAATGGAAAAATGCGTCACGATGAGGGAGATGAGTGATATCGCTCCTACGCCGCTTAACTTTGATTATTTCGTTGTTGGACTTTGGAGTCTTAGCTTGGCTCTCCGCATTCTACCCCGGTCTATCCCCCGCATATTGGACCAGGAACCCCCGGAAGGATGGTGGACCTCTCATCCTGGACCCAACGCGCCACCCCGCATGATGTCTTGGCTCGACCGAGGAATCTTTGTTAGGTTCAGCTGGTTATTTCTCTTTTCCTGGCTTGTGAAACTCTGGACGAACGACTTCTTGACAGCAACGAAGTCTATGGGCCTTTGACTTTGCGCAGAGAAAGCAACGCAAGGTTCAGTCGATCAAAGATCAACGCCAAGCCGGACCAAACCCGCCCTAGGAGCAACCTCCTGTCTGATGACTGCCGACGAGCCCGTGCAGGATCTGTTGATACTGAAAAGAACCCGTGCCTCTTTTCCCAATCATCAAAATTTCCGGAGAGGCAAGGGTCGAGAACACCTCCTCCTGCAGCATCACGCAAGCGAGGACACCCTGCGGCCGTCCACGACCGTAAGCACGCATCGGTGTCAGCTTGAGGCTGAAAAGATTCCTCTTTACACTACTCATTGTCTTCAACAAAGTCTTCAACAGCCTAAACATGTCTCCGCGAAACGAAGGCATTCTCGACAGCCACGAGTGGGATGAAGTCAAGCCTACCTGGTGCGACAAATCCAAATGGCTCGCAGATGATAGCGACTGGAAACCTGCTTCCCTCATACGAACCAGGCGGCCATCTCGACTGAATATGTCCAGCTTGAGTTCCTTCTTCTGGGCCATCAAAGACACCAAGAATCCAGAGAAGCTGCGGCCCACGGCATACCTTGACGGCTTGCGAGGTTTCGCTGCCTTCTTAGTGTACTGGCATCACAACCAACTATGGGCCCATGAGCCTCACGTTCAGAATAGAATTTTTGAAAACTCCTTTGGATACGAAAACAGATATCACTTCATCGCTTTCCCCGGCATCCGTCACTTGTTTACTGGAGGCCACTTCTCAGTATCAGTCTTCTTCGTCATATCCGGCTACGTTCTCTCCGCTAAACCTCTGAGCTTGATCCAGTCCGGAGATCACGGAAAACTCGCAGAAAATGTCGGCTCAGCATTATTCAGGCGATGGCTGAGACTTTATCTTCCATTGATGGCGACGACGTTTCTCTACATGACCTTCCTCCACATGTTCGATATCTGGGTCGACAATATCGAACGTGCGCCAACCTGGAGAGATGATGTCTGGCTCTATTATTGCGAGCTGAAGAACTTCAGCTTCATCTTCACCACTGGAGGCGGCCCGTTCTTCAACTGGAACCCACACCTTTGGTCCATTCCAGTTGAGATGAAGGGCTCAGTCATCGTCTACACGTCGCTACTCGCATTCTCTCGATGCACCAGAAACGCCCGGCTCTGGTGCGAGGCTGGCCTGGCATTTTATTTCATGTACATTGCCGATGGGTGGTATGGAGCAATGTTCGTCATGGGCATGATGCTTTGCGACCTCGACCTTCTTGCGAAGAAGAACGACCTTCCCAACATCTTCAAGAGATTGGAACCCACCAAAATCTTCATTTACTACCACCTTTTCGTCGTCTCGATGTATCTCGGTGGTGTCCCGTCTTACACCGGGGACGTCAACAAGATGCGCGACAACCGCGGGTGGTACTATTTGTCCTTCCTCAAGCCGCAGGCCGTTTTCGATTACAAGTGGTTTTACCTCTTTTGGGCCGCCACCTTATTGGTGTCTGCGGTCCCCCGAATCTGGTGGCTGAAGAGATTATTCGAGACTCGCTTCTGTCAGTATCTAGGCCGAATTTCCTTCGCCCTCTACTTGGTTCACGGGCCAGTTCTGGGGACTCTGGGCGATCGACTATACACAGCCGTTGGGTACCACAAAGAAACGGAGCGACAACATCTCGCGCACCTGGTCGACAGGTTTCCATTACCAAAGATTGGGCCCCTCGGCTTGGAACCGGCCTTCCTTATTCCTCATGTGATAATCCTGCCTGTCACTCTTTGGATAGCTGAGATTGTCACGAGGTTCATTGACGAGCCTAGTGTTAGAATCGCTCAATGGCTCTACAGAAAAACCTTGCCTACAGCGCCAACAAAGATTTGAGATAGGCTGAGAGGGATTTGGCGTTCAGGCACATGTATTTCGGGACTGCCGAAACATTTACGGCATCTAGTACGACATAATGATTAGTGTAAACCACTTGTAATTGATCAATTGACAACACTGTTCTATCGCACAAGACTGGACCAAGACGCTCAGACAGACTACGCTCTCAATGTCACGGTGCAATCGGATTGGCTGCCACCCAGAGCCATGGACCTGAGCCATTTCTAGTCGAACTCTAGAGCGCGTCCAATATGCAGCGACGATGGACTTGCCACGCGGGCCACCAGGCTGAGCCCGGTGCTGACGGGACCGAGTCCGCCAGGCGCTGTCTAGGTGACTCAGCCTGCAGCGGGCAAAGTTAGAGGGTTGCCCATTCCGCCCGAACTTCAATTTCTCGTGTGTCTGCTCTTCCTATCGACTTGCAGCTGTATCACACCCAATGACGCTGCAAGAGCGGATGCTTTCCCCGAAATGGAATTGGTGTGGGAGCTCGTGAGGGGAACAGGATTGCAACTCAAGCCAGGGGTTCGCGCAACTCACCGAGGCAACTCACATGCTCACATGCTTGATGGAGCGAGATTGCAGCCTACCACTCTGCTCAAGGAGCTAATCTTTGATCAAACTCGAGAGTTTATCTCAGGAACACTCCATCAATAAGCTATGTGCATGCATCCTACTTTACCTGACCCTTCACACTAAAAATGTGGGTGGCTGGGGTTGACTAGCGATAGTCGGCCGCGCTTCTCAACTTCTAAGTGAGGGGAAGCTGGACGCTCCAACTCCCATGGTCGTATTTACTTGTTCGTCCGTTGATACCCATCACACGGCATACATCTCCCGAAAGCTTCCCCGTCTTTTCACTCTTAGCTTCAAGTCGACAGCCTTGCATTCCAGGTCCCCCACATCCCTTGGTACTGCTGTCTGTGATGCAATCGTGATTTTGGAGCTCGGCCAGCACATGTTGTGGAGAAACTTCGCGCCCCCAAAGTCCCAGACCTGCTCTTTCACGTATCCTCTCACTATCGAGTTCAAGCACGGAGAGTCTCCTTACACAGTCACCGCAAGGTTATCAGTCAATAGGACTAGCTTGATCACTTGACTCTGCATGCTGCGACCCAATTCCGACGTGCCGCACGTTCCAGTCGCCAGTGTCTCGACACCTCGGCGCATGCGGACAGCCCTCCCACCTCGCGATGATAGCTAGGGACTTCAAGCGCGTCATCCTCATTGTAGGCCCCTTCTTGTTTCTCGTCTATGTCGGTATACGGTGTCTCGACTTCAGAGACTCTGCTTCGGGTTTCGATACCTGGTTCGATCACATCTTCGCACCGAACTGGAGACAAGACGATGAGCTGAAGCCGCACTCCCGGCCGGCTCCTTCGGCTGCGCCGACGGAGGTAATACAACCTGTGGAAGGCGTGCCTGAACATCTACCCACGTCGAAACAGACACATCACGAGATATTCTCGACGTCGACCTTCAACAAGAAGTTCTTTGCCATACGATTCGGCGATGAAGCGGCGATCAACCCCAACATTATTCCACATCCCACCATTGAAGGCACCTTTGTCATTGTAGCGCAAAAGCAGAAGACAAACCACGACGACTCTGAGCACGTGGAACTCGTTTGCAATGCCACCTTCACGCTGGAAGGTCTCGTCTGCGTCGATGCGCCCACGGTTCTACCCATCGCAGCCACCAAGAGTGGCGATGACAAGTGCCCACCAAAATTGGCCTACATCGCTATGAACGTTGGGCCCCACGATGCGCGAGTCTTGTACGGACCCAAAGCACCCTTCATCGTATTCGGTTCCAACTCAATATTCGCCTGCTTCGGACAATTCATGCAAGACTTCCGCACGCTCGGGGACTGGGGCTTCGAGATGTCGTTGGACCAAGGTTTTGGTCTCGGAACGGAGCTTCAACGTCCTCCGCCGTGGGGTACGATGGAAAAGAACTGGTTTCCATTCTGGGACGAAGAGGGCGCAGTCTACGTCCACCATGACGTGGCGCCGAAGCGCGTCTTTGCAAAATTGAACACGGACGGCTCCGTAGGGCCGGATCTTGCGCCGTTGGCTGCCGGTGACGAGGCTTGCATGAGCAAGTACATGCCGAAGCTGCCGCCAGATCTCGAATCGATACATCAGGCGACGAATTCGCTGAGCATTACGTTTTGCAAGCGCAGCGATCCAACTTGTAGGGCCACTAGTGATAACACCTTCCTCTTTACGGTGTTTCAACATAAAACTTTCTATCAATTCCATAGCGAGTACGAACCGTATGTAATGGTGTTCCGACAAAAGGCACTGTTTGAGGTGTTCGCCATGTCGAAGCGACCGATATGGATACACGGCCGGGAGGAAAGACTTGATGGAGGGTCCGACATGTTTTATGTAACTTCCATGAGCTGGAAGAGGCAAGATCAGAGATATCACGGTTTCTTGGACGATGTGCTGTTCCTCTCATTTGGCATAGAAGATCAGAGGGCAGGCGCCATTGATGTCTTGGCTGAGGACCTATTGGCTGAGCTCGGGACTTGTTTGGAAGCGTGATGAAGTTGATACCTTTTTAGCACAGCGATTGATTAATTCGACATCCCTATGTGAAGTAGGAGCAAGATACTGCGCCTGCATTCTACAGGTTTTGCCAATATATTTTGACTTGCTTGAAAGAACTAGTGGCCTGTGTATCCATTCGGGCAGCATAAAAACGGTGATCGATGGAAGAATACCTAGGCACTGCTAGGTATGCTTGAGGAAAGTCGTTCAACAAAGGGGGAGAAAACACGTTTAGACAATCTTGGGCCCGTCCCAGCTTTGTCTCACTTGAACTCCTACCCAAACTCAGCCAACGGTCGAGTCCCTTCATAGCATTGCCTTGTGCGACAATGAATCCGGGGAATGCCCACTCACAAAGGTCCGCGGCTGGCCCCCAACATTCCACATCTTTCATCAGATAACGGACTACAGGCAAAATCATGATAAGGACCACGTTCATCACGGCCGCCTTGAAGACAGTAACTCTCCATGCAACTGATCAGGAGCCTGTGTTGCGTCGGTATCCCAAGCTTCTCATATCAAGCCCGTGAAGCCGCGATTGCTTGAGCTGGAGACAGACGACGTCTGATCGGCCGAGATGGAGTTGACGCCTTGAGACTTCCGCGTTCCGGCCAGGCGCCACTCAGAGTCCAGTCTGGATATGGCAGCAAGACCACCCGTTCCGCAAACGGAAGCATCCCATAACATCATTGGTCTTAGTCTCTGCCACATCCAGCCGCCCCATCATATTCCTAAGCTAATCCCAATCCATTCAACAACGACAATGCAATGACAAGCCACGAGGGCGTCACTGTAAGCCATCTAAGTGTCAATCCAAACCGGAAGCGGCACTTTGCCCCAGGAATTTGTCAACCATTGGTAGGCGTCAGAAATCTGGCGTTTCTGCAGAAGCCATTTCTCGCCTGTCCTTGGCTTATAAGTGGAATGTGCCCCCCTGTCAGCGCCCATTTGCATCTTCATCCGGAATTTCCACCACATGATTGAGTTTTTGCCAAACTCGGCAAGATCCCCAGACGCCGCGGGCACCGTTTCCGAGCACCCCTACGAATATAAATACCCAACATATCGTGACCAAGCGCGCCCCCTTCGCGCGGAAGCCCTAGGATGTACAACCCAAACGTCAAAATGATTAGCCCCGATCATTCCCTCACGTTCACCAACTTGGCGTCGAAGACTTTCGAGCTCACGCAACACAATGTGCCGACGTCCCCCGATATACGGATGATCCAGGACATCAGCCAGGCCACTCTGACGCCCAGAGATGGAGAATCACTCATGACATGGACAAAGGGGTGTTACTTTGGCAAGAGCGGGTTCGACGATGTTATGCTCTGCTGGCAAGAGCTGGAAGCCCTGACTTCTTTCTGTATCGGCATCGAATCTCCCGAACGCGGCTTTTTCAAGCCTATTCAGTCGCACTGGAAAGTGAAGTACAACGACGGCAATACGATCAAGGACTGGTTCTTCCCTTCCGAGAATCCATCAGACCCGTACACATTCCCGAGCACAATGGATGTTGATATATCCGTTACGAGTCATTCGGTGAAGGATCAGTTGGAGCTCAAAATCACGATCAAGGACAAGGCACCAAGTGCTGAGCTCAAATCATAGGAGTTTGTAAGTAATCCCGTAAATAGTACTTCCTACCACAGCCCAAGCTACAGCGCTAACTATCAGATAGGCAGAATGGGTACGAACTACAGCACGTTGGTTCTCGAGTAGGCATCCGTACGGCTTTGCAGGATATGACAACCAGGCGTCAAGCAAGATGGGACGGGAGATGTGCAGAGATGGGGGATGACTCAATACCAGCGTTATTTGCAAAAGTATTTTGGGAGGCGGTTTGTTTACATGCGATGCTTCGTACACTGTGTTTCTATTAGTTCATAAATTTGTTCAGTGTCTTAGTCTACCAAAGCTCTGCAGAACCAGTCTCCCGAATAGCACGCTTTGGAGTTTCAAGGTATACTTGTCAATTTTCAACTCGCATATCTACTTCTAGCCTTAGAACTCAGGAGCCAGCTATCCCCAGTTACTATCGACGTGAAATGGATGATTTCTTGGGATTTCACTGGAAATCTAATCTAATGTTTGACTGCAGGTCCGGCCCTCCAACTACCTCACCTACCTTGAACGATGTTGTCCTATTTTCCGCTTGTCAAGATATGAGGTAGGATACTTCATTCATAAGTAGAAAAGGTCTAGTTATTAGCTCTATGTGCAGTGATACTGGATCATATTGATATTCGCCTCACTCTTCCCACAAGCTTCTTTCTCATAACAGAGGGTCTCTAAAAGCAGGTCTGAGTCACAGACACACAAACACAAAGCTCTTCATCTACTTCCTCGCAGTTCTACTCTTGCTGAGATTGGCTTTCGTATTGTTTTCTTTAATTGCTGACAAGGGGGCATTCGTGCACTCCAGGAGTCAGGAACGATAGGTACTCATCACAGGATGGCAGTTGATGCAGGTCAAGGTGCGATCAACTTTCTCCGTAGGATTTGACAATGAAGGATGCATATCAGGTAACCACACTGCTCCCCTTGAAAGCTATTCGCGCTACCTTACACTGAAGCTTCCCAAGTTGATTCCTACCGTAGCTGTGGGACCCTGACAGGGCCAAGCTTCAGCTCTCCACAACTCGTGCCCAACCATCATCTTCGCTTCACGAAATTCTGCATCGGGAACGTGGGGGCCAAACATGAAGCTACCCACCCTGCAATTTGACCATCACAAGATGGTCTGGTGGTGTAGTTGGTTATCACGTCAGTCTAACAGTCCGAGATCTCCTCCCCGAATCTCCCCCTGTTCCACTGAAGGTCTCCGGTTCAAGTCCGGGCTAGATCATGATTGGGCGATTGTTGGTTTAGTGGTATAATGACCGCTTAGCATGCGGTAGGTCCTGGGTTCGATTCCCAGATCGTCCATCTTTTGCCGGTGGACATGTCGGTGTGGTTGAAGTTGAGGCTTCTGATGATTTTTGGCCTCCCATGATGCTGCGTCACCCAATAGCTGCATGTCAGACGCAGGGTTGCATTACCCCTGGTCGTTTTGACAATGGCAACCCGACAATTTGGAAATCGACGTTTTTCCGATCAAACCAATCGGTAGAAGATTGTCTTTGCCCAATGATAAGTCAGAAAAAGCGGATTTCCTTTTACGGTAGAGTGGCTGCTTACACGCGCTAGAGTGCGGAGTGGGAACTCCGCGAGCTGACATCGCGCTAAGGATCAGGGTCTAGGCAGGCTCTAATGGGATAAGGATAGGCGAATGCGAGACAGATATTGACTCAAAAGTGCGAGCAGAAGAGGTATTAGCGAGTTTCGATCAAGAAATGAGAAGGGCGACTGAGTGAAGTTGGTTGTGGAATGTGTAATGCGAACGTGCACGCTGCATGTGTTCTGAGAACTCAGGAATCAACCAAGCTTCTAACATAAGTAAGTAGGTACTAAGGGTCCATTCAGTTGGAGTCACTGCAGTAACAATATTAACATACTGAGCGTCTACCAACATGCTCTGATGCAATACGACCAAAGAGAGGCTCATAGCAGCAAAGTGCGAAAGATCACCCCCATTGGATCCGAGACAGCCGATTGAAGTCCAGGCATGCAAATTACCGCCATTGACTACGTGGTAACGGGCGCGCTAAGAGGACCATCATCCCTGTTTGGCTTCCCTGTGAGGCCCACCTCCCCAACTCTACAGCTCACAGCTCCAGCCAGTCTATTTTACTTTGGCTAGCGAGCAGATGGGATGGAATATGTCAGCATTTAGGGACCCCTTTAAAGCTCACACGTTTCGCCCAGATTTCCAGAAACATGTGGTGAACTACGTCTCACATCTCTCTTGCTCAATCACCACGACAGCGACATTGTCTCACTCCACGGCCCAAGATGGCGCCCATATCGCAGCTTCTCCCTCCAGTTGCCAGCTTGTCAGGCATCGGCCTGCTCGCGCTCGGGTCCGTGGCTCTATTGTACATCATCAGCAGAGCATTCCTCAGCATCCCGTACCCTAAGGGCATCCCGCTCATTGGCGAGCCTGATGGTGCCACACGATTCAGCATCCGCACGTATCTGCGGTTCTACACGGACTGCCAGGGTCTTTTCCGTGAGGCCTACGATAACGTGAGTCGATTCTTAGCACTCGTACCTGCCCCGATTTGCTAACTTTGTACCCAGTACGCAAAGAAAGGAAAGCCAGTAGTCATCCCAGGCATCGGTTTTCGCCATGAGATCATCATGCCTACGAGCTCGATGCGATGGGTTCAGGCGCAGCCAGAGACCGAGCTTGACCCCAGCACCGCTTTTGCAGAAGTCGATCAGGTTCACTGGGCTCTTGGCCACGACCGATATGTTGTGGATGCGTGGCAAGGACTCCTCGTCAAGACCGAGATGAATGCAGTACTGGAGAACATTTGCGCTGCCATGAACGAAGAGCTCGGCGTTGCCTTTGACAAGTGGTTTGGAACGGACCCGGAATGGAAAGAAACTGACCTTTTTGAGTCGTTGAAGATGGTTGTTGCGCAGGCAGCTAGTCGCTTTACCATCGGTCCGGGCCAGGATCTTTGTGAGTGTCTTCCAGCGAGACGACTTCATAGACATCAAACTGACGTAAAGTAGGCCGAGATGAAAACTACCTCAACCTCAATTTCGATATCATTAACCAGCTCATCATGAACGCCGGCGCTTCCGGGGCCAGCCCTCGAGTCCTTCGACCTGTAGTCGGCAGGGCAGTTAATTTCACGATACACGGCAAGATCAACAGACTAAAGAAGATGTTTGAGCCTCTTTGGAAAGAGCGTCTCGAAACCATAAAGTACGAACGCAACGATCCGAACCACATTGAGCCTCAAGATCATTTACAGATGATGGCTCGTTACGCCAAGGACCACCGACCAGAAGAGTTCAACGATTTGGACATGATGACGCGCCGACTGATCGCAGCCAACTTTGGATCTATGCATCAGACCAGTATTCAGGCCACTAACATGCTTCTCAACATTTTGGGATCAGATACGGAATTCAACACGATTGCAACTCTTAGAGACGAGGTTGATCGTGTACTGTACGCCGATGGAGACAACAACTGGACAAAAGCCAAAGTCAGCAAGATGGTCAAAGCCGACAGCGTCGCCCGAGAGACCCTGCGCCTGAACTCCTTCGGCGGCCGTGCCGTCTTCCGGAAAGTCCTGGTTGACGGCTTCAAGACCCCCGACGGATATCATCTCCCCAAGGGAACCCTGATCTCTTTCCTTGGACAACCTGCTCAGACGGATGGCGAGGTTCTAGAAGACCCGCTGAAATACGACCCCTTCCGCTTCGCCCGCATGCGTGAGGATGCGGCCGCAAAGGACGAGAAGGCGCCCCCAGTCAGCTTTGTCACCACGAGCACCGAATATCTGCCTTTTGGACACGGAAAGCACGCATGCCCTGGTCGCTTCTTGATAGACTTCGAGTTGAAAATGATTATCGCCTACGTGCTGGGTCATTATGATGTGGAGTTCCCGGCTGAATACAACGGCAAGCGTCCGGCGAATTACTGGCTCACGGAGGCATTGTTCCCACCAAATGGGGTCAAGCTTCGGATTAGAAGGAAGACCAAGGATTGATGGACTGTAGGGGCGATGGCTGCTTGAGGGATAAAAGCTGGAAATGCGGAAATAAAGCAATGACTTTGAGTTCGATGAAGCCAGGAGGGTAGTTTGGAAGTTTGAGAAGCACGGCCTGTATGGTTTTCCAAAACAGATGATGGATCCGAGATACTTCTCATCAATTCTGAACTAGGCGAATGCCGCCTCAAACTTGGAGTGCCTTGGAAGGAACTTGAAGTTTCCATCGCGAAATTACGTAGACCTCCCCGGCTACATTACATCTAGCGGAAAGCCTCGTCAAAACGTGGCAATTATTTACCACTCGACTTAAATAGCGCCACTTCCATTCTCAACGGGGTACGTAGTAAGTCGTTCCGCTTCTCCTTTTTCTCGCCGTCTAGCTTGTCAATACTAGCAGACCAGGCCACGTAATTCGCGTCAAAGAAGGCTATGTAAAGGATGGTCCCATGTCAATGAAGTTCTAAAAGGATCGCAGCGGTACTAAAGAAAATCCGTGAGCCTACCTGAAAGTTTATCTACGATTAGCGCTTCACTTAACGCAATTAACGTAAATCTAGCCTTCTAGTTGATTAATGTCACGGGCTGGAGTCCGGTTGAGATCTCCGGCCTTGCCGGAGCCGCACGCACACCCCTCTGCTGGGAAGCTGTCCGACCGCGACCTGTAATAACCAATTATTACATTGGATTATATTACAAAGCGAGGTAGTAATTAGAAGACTTGTATAGTAGAAAGTGGCTTGATTCCTCTAAGTGGAAGATCCGTATGAGGATCATATCTATCCCATCGAGTGCTGACTGACGCCATTTTTGCCAAGCCCCAAATCCCCACTATTTACACTTTATTACCCCGCATTTAAAGGGGTACATTGACGATACAACATTTACCACTATGCTCTTTTACCTGTTATCACTACTATTACTAGCATTTCAATTGATGCTGCAATGTCTTCTAGTGATTCTGATACCTCTATTGCTTCCAATACCTCTATTGCTTCTAAAACTTCTGTTACTTCTGTACTCAGCACTATAGTAGTTGAGGTCTACCCAGAAGACCTAGCTGCTGCTTGTAATACAGCTTGTAAGCCAGACGGCTGTGACGAAGCCACAGTCCGGCCCTGTGAACCTCCGGCTACCGAGCATGGCCCTCCGGGCTCCTTCCGGCCCTTTGAAGTACCAGCCCGGGCCCAAGAGGTCCGGGGGCTGCCGGCAAGTGTTTGGCCCAGACGTCCGCAAGGACCTTCCAGTCCCTAGGGCAATCGACGAATACAACCACAAGATGAATGGGGTTGATGTGAGTGACCAGATGAGGTCTTATTATCAATACGGTCACCCTATTCGGCGAGGGGGCTGGCAGTCCCTAGCCTGGAATTTCCTGCTGGAAGTAGTAGTTGTGAATAGCTTCTTATTACAGCTCTGGGGTAGCCCTAGGTGGCAGAAGGTGGAATCCAACTATCAATGGCGGCAGTTACTAGCAGCCCAGCTTATTCAACGGTTTGGACCATTAGCAGGCGGGCGTAGACTATCACGACCTAGACGTACAGACATGAGGAATACCTCTATTCCATGGGAACAGCATACAAAAGGGTCACGGAAGGTTAATTCGCCTTGCTCTTATTGTAGTAATCTGAGGGCAATAAGAAACCGCCAGACTCTAGGCGAGATATCTGGGAATACCCTCACGCGGCGTAAATATACGAGGAAGGGCTGCTTAGACTGTAACGTACCTTTATGTACCCAGGGGAATTGTTGGTACCTCTGGCATACGCAGAATATGTAGGCAATAGAGGTACTGTAACCCTATTGGTTAACTCTATAGATTTCCAACCCCTAATTGGCTCTACCCCGCCCTTGGCAAAAATGGCGTCAGTCAGCACTCGATGGGATATACCGTACAAGACGGGTAATCGGCTTGTGGAAAGCGGTATCGTACGGCAGTAACCGGCAGCGCCACGTGTGGCGCTGCGACACATGTAATAATAAGATAAGGATCATTTAGGATTAATATAATCTAACATAACTTAGGGGCTAAACGATTATTCTAGATTAGAATGATCTAGGGCGACCTAAAGAATAAAGGATATATTCAGAATCAGGACTTATATATAGGATAGACTCGAGCCGGGCTCTCGGACAGACTTTCCATAGCTTCTTCAATAATTAACTTCGTATCAGATCTTATAATCGCTTTCAGCTATCTTCCCTGAGAACCTCTTTGATAAGACTACGATTGATCACCGAAGCCTTCCCTTACCTTACGACATACAGACATAGCTTCCCTGAAGCTATCCCCGACTACGAATACTGTTACCAGTTCCGCAGCCTCAACTTCTGCAAACATACCTCACTACGACTAGCTGGCCGTAACACTGCGTGCCATAACTCGTGACATTTTCTAATGGAGTTGCCCTCGAGACTTACATGAACACAAGGAATCATGATGACGCGGAGGTCAAACCAATCGTTGATGGTTGCTTGCCGCTGGAGGAAGTTGGAGTACGCTAGCCCGGCCTCTGATCTCTCTGCTTTGGCAAGCGCTTCGGGATTCAACTTCAAATCATTGATAAGTATATCTCGCCAGTCATTGACCTCCTTCACACTGACTGTAAGTCCAGTCACTTCTTGCTGGAACGTTTCCCAATCGTCGTCGGGAATGGTGTTCATTCGGAGAGCTTGGAAGCCGACATAGTCGATAAGATAGAAATAGTCCTGCTTCATTCCGCTACAAATAGCTTGCGTGGCAGTAATAGTTGATGGATTTCCTTTCGTTACCAGTCCATATTCCTGATAGTATGGTAGGACTACCTCATCCGGGTTCTGAGCAGCAAACCAGATGAAGGAATTGCTCATAAAAGCCTCCACGGGATCTTTGTTGCTTGGATCATTCCACAGCGCATCAGCGAATCCATTGCTGCAGTCTATTAGCTCGTGTGACACAATCACGCTAGTCGACTTTCTTATCAGACCGATCACCACAAGTCCTCAGAACCTCTCTCGGGCTTCCACCGCGATCGTCAAGGACAGCCTCGAGGTTGTCATCCGCGACTTCAGTAACGCCTCGCGCTGAAAGATAAGTGTTAGGCAGGCTGAAAGGTGTAGAAATCTTAGATAAGTCCATTACCGATCTTTGGATATCGGCATTCTGAAATTGGGATGTCAAAGTTGAAAGTGTCAGTGCACGTTTTGGATGTTTTACCGAGCGTACTTATGCTCATCCGTCGCCGGTCTGTGGAAACGGCCTTGCACATTGTGTTGAACTTGTGGTGGGTTCAGAATGAAGGTGTTACGATTCACGAAGAACCTGTGTAGTGCAAGTGCAACCACAGGTGAATTCAGAAGCCGCTAGGAACACACTGTTGATGCCACACGGCGGGCACAAAATGTTGTTTACTGTTTACTTTGATGAATGTGGAAAGGCGAGAGTTCCACCCACTTCTCTAAAGATGTTTGCAAGGAAGAATGTGATGTTTAATGCGCTGGGTCGATGTGGAACACGCTATCGACCATAACCGAGCCTAAAGTTTCACACATGATGATCGAGATTTCTCGCCGTCAAATGGCTTTGAACTTCATCTTCAGCTTTAGCCTTAAGTTGCACTGTGTCTGAACGTTCGTGTCACATGAAGTCGACTCCGTTCCATTCCCAGAATAGGTGCGGATAACTGCAAGTCTGCACCGAGCCTGTCGGCAGTGCCGGTGCCGGACCATGCCTGACACAAGACAACCAACGCATATTCTCATTGCTGCAGACTTGGACTCGTGCAGACTGGCGCACGTCAACAATCACCCATTAAGTATTTAAGTCGGCCCAACGTGTAGGTAGTCTGTCCAGATTTTCATAATGCGGGACGCTATGTATATTAAATACCAGACAATAAACTCCACAATCACCCCTTCAAGCTATCGCAAGGGATATTGGAGGGCACACCCGTCGGGTTGACAAAGTAGTCGTGGTACCAGTACACCTGCTTCTCAGGCTTGGTGGACAGATTCGGCGCCTCGTCGACACCCTGAGTCGTCTTGAGAACAGTGTACTGCGTCTTGTAGCTAAAAGTCAAGCCAGTCAGAAAAGTCTCCCTTTGTTTATCTCTCAATCGAGCGTCATTAAGAACTTACTAAATCTGCGAACAGCTGCCCGCCTTGAAGTTATTCTCGATGCGCCCGTGAGCCTCATAGACAGTCGCCGTCGCATTGTTGTCTGCGATGAACGTTGTGTTGGGGAAGTGCTATCCCCACCCCGTCAGCCACGATGGAAAGGAAGAGAAAAGAATCACTTAAAATGCACGTGGGTTATTTGCACAGAGGATAGGGAGGGCTTGACATACAGTAAGAGACATGCTGCCATCGGTAGGCAAAAACCGCTGCTTGCACTTGGTAATGGCATCCGCGCCGACGCAGTGGATGCTCAGCGTCGTCTGCATGCCGTCCGCGGTGAAGAAGTCGGTGTACGCCGTGGTGGCGGTGGGATCTTCTGCAGGAGTGACGAGGCTAGACAACACAGACGTCAATACATGGTTTCTCTAAAGTTGAACCAATGGGGCTTTGCAGTTCTAGGAGATTGTGCGCGCAACGTACGCATTGAGAAAGGCCTTGAACTCGGGTTGCACGCCGGGCTGGGGGTCGTAGTCTGTGAAGTCAATCGCCGCGACGAAGCGGGCGGCCAGGAGGGCGGGGAGGGCAAAGTTGAGCTGCATCTTGGGATTAAAAGGTGCAAACGATTTCCGAAAAGAGTGACTTTTGTGAGTGCGCTTTGCAATGAGTGGTGATGCTTGACGTTGGTTGCCTATGAATGAGGCTCTCGTGAAATGGGGCCGGTGGGATTTTTTAGAAACATGAAAGCGAATCGGTAGTCCAGTGGTGGTGGGTAAGTTAGTCAACGCAGGGCTGTGTCTACTATCGACGTTTCGCACAGAAGATCTTCATGCAAAGAAACTATTATGAAAACCGTGGAATCATAATAGCACAAGCGCCCAGCCTCCTAGGTTTCCGTACGGCGAAAGCGAGAGGCTCTTTGAGTGGGCAATATGCCAAACACTGCACTTTTTGCGGCCGGTTCGCCCCTTATTTCGGCGCAAGTTGACCGGTCCGTCCTAAATCCTTAAGAAACGACCATCTGGAGATGTTGCGGGATCTATACCTAAGCATCTTCCAGACTAATCACCCACACAAAAGTCCCCCCAGATATACGGGAAAAGGCTGGGCCCGAGCTGGGGTGCGCCCTGCCGGACATGGGATGAAGGTTTCCCAGAGGCCTCCCGTTTCCGCAGAGTGCCGCGCCGCCCGCCCCCTTTTCTTTTCTTCGGAGCATCCGGCTGGGCCGCTGCCGCCGACGGGGGAGAACTGACTGACTGACTGTGAAGAATCCCATGTCAGGAGGTCTTGGACCGGACTCGACGTGAACGAACGCGGGGTCTTGAATAAAGGGCAGGGTAAATGTCTTGAAAGTCACGAGCTTCAGCATCCGCTTGCCTCTCGAGACTCCATACCGTTTGAACCCCTCTCAGTCTTTACCGCAAAGCATCCACAACAAATCGCCAAAAATGAAGCCCTCGACAACCCTCCTCTCCCTCACCGCAACTCTCGTAGCCGCAGTCGACATGGCGCCCTACAAGTCCTCCGCCGGCGTCGACGTTGCCTTTGCCGACTTCGTCTCGGAATACTACCGCACCTCGGAAGACAAAGCCGCCACCACCACCTTCACAAACTTCTGGCCCGCGGACGGGAAGATGATCCTCGCGGGGCGGACCTTTGAGGGGTCCACGGCCATGCTGAGCGTAAAGCAGTCGCTTCTCCCGCCGACCGGGAATAAGTCGTGGTGGCATCTGATCCGCGGGGCGACGGTGGGCGGGGAGACGGAGACGGATAAGACTTTTGTGGCGGAGATTGTGGTGCAGACGACGTATGTTGGGTTAAACTGTTCTCAGGCGTAGTAAGTTTTTTTCTTTTTTGCTGATCTTGCATCTTTTTTGAGTTGAATCTTTTGGATAAAGGTACTGACGATTGTGGTAGTGGGAGCGCGGCGTTTACTGTCCTCAAGGATGCTCAGGGTACCCCTAGATTGGAGCCGCATTCGGAGAGCTTGAGCGTCTATAACCTCACCGTCTCGACGACGGATTCGCCCACGGATATCCCGTGCAGCAATTCTTGATCGAGTAGACAAAAAAAATAAAATTCTAGCGTAGTTTAAGACGAAATGGATTCACGATTTAGAGACTCAAAGTACTGAAGTTGAATAGAATTCTGTTCCGTTCATCGCACTAGATACTATCCGTATCTCCAAGCAACAAACGTATTCTATCGTATCATAGCGTAACCAATAATGCAAGTGTCGCTCTCTAAATGCCGTAATGACAGGTTTTGCCCCTCCGTCCCAGTGTGCCGAACCATTCCACACGTGAATCTTGGTGCCTCGAGCCCCAAGAACGCCGCCCCAAAAAAGACAAGATTGGTCTTTGGTGTATGTTGTCATACCCGCCGCCAGTGTTATATACGTTCGCAATAGAATCCGGTCGTAGAATCGTGCCGAGGAAACAAAAAAACAAAAACAATAAGCGCACTAAATGGTATCGTAGCTGGTAACATGTAACAGAGAAATGGAAGTATATGCAAAATAAGAGTCAGTGGAAGGCTGGTCATGAACGACGGTGACAGATCACTGAGCCTTCTCAACGTCTCTGGTGTTGGTGTTCTCCTCAGGTTGTGTGGAGATAACAATCTCGGGCGCAGCAACCTTGGCGTCGTCTGAGCCCGAGGAAATACCAGCGTCCACGGACGCAGCGTCGGCCTCGGTAGTCTTCTTGCGGCGGAAAGCGGCGCCAATGGTGGTGAAGAACCTGCCGAGGGCGCGGTAGACAATGACGACGGGTCTGCCGACCGTCTTCGCAATCTTCTCGAACCAGGGGTCGGGGAAGAGGCGGATGAGGACAGCCATGGGAAGGGAGACGGAGGCGAGAACGATGGAGACGGCCCAGTGCTCGCCGCTGATGCCGCCGGGTGTGATGCGAAAGGCCTTGCCGCCGACAAAGATGATGGCGACCTGGGCGCCGACCATGATGCAGTTGATGACGATGAAGAAGTAGTTGCGGTGCACGCCCTCGAAGATGTTGAACTTGTTGTCCAGGCGACGGTTGTTGAACTCATTGAAGATTTGCATCCACACAAAGGTGTTGAAGATCATGGAGTCGAGCTCGAGCTGCTGATCCTCGTTGTGGGCGTTGTAACCGAAGATGGCATTGCCGGCGAAGTGGAGGATCAGGGTCGCGGTCAGCTGGAAGATGGCCTGGCCGATGATCATCTTCCACATGTTGATTGTGATGAGGGGCGCCTTCTTGCCCTGCGGCAGGCGATCGAGGATTTTCTCGGTCGGGGGATCTGTGGCGAGCGCCAGGGCGGCAAAGGTGTCCATGATGAGGTTGACCCACAAGAGCTGGACGGCGGTGAGGACGGATTCCATGTTGGGATCGGAGACGGCGGTGATGAAGGCGAGGAGAACAGCAGTGATGTTGACCGTGATTTGGAACTAGGCACATTCATGTTAGCTTCGAATGGTGAAAGAGAGTGTGTAGGTCTACATACCTGGAGGAACTTTTGCACGGCGTCGTTCACTGCTCTTCCCCACTTCAGGGCCGTAACAATCGAGGTGAAATTGTCGTCCATCAAGACGATGGAAGATGCCTCCTTAGCGACCTCAGTACCGGAAATACCCATGGAGAAACCGACATCAGCAGCCTTGAGCGCAGGCGCATCGTTGGTGCCATCGCCAGTAACAGCAACGGTTTCGCCAAGAGCCTTGAGGCGGGTGACCAAGACGCGCTTGTCCTCTGGCGAAGAACGCGCAAGGACTTGTAGACGGGGCAGCATCTCATTCATCTGCTCGACAGAAAGCTTCCTGAAGACGGGACCTTCCATAATGAGACCGCCTTCGGTGTGGATGCCGCACTCGGTGGCAATAGCCTGGGCAGTGACAGCGTTGTCACCAGTAACCATGCGAACGACAACACCAGCATGCTTGGCCTTGCGAACAGCTTCGGGAACACCGGGGCGGACAGGGTCCTGGATACCGACGACACCAGCGAAGACGAGGTCATGGAGGACATCTCCGAGATCGACATGTCCCTCAATGGTTGCGTTGACGCCGTGGGGGGGCCATTGAGGGAAGTCTTGGTAGATGAGAGCGATGGTGCGTAGGGACTGCTTGGCGTAGGCGTCAATAGTCGCCTCAAGGTTCAGGCGATCGGACAGTTCGAGAGTCGAGATGGAGAGATCGTTGACGTTGATCTGTTGGCTACAGTATCCGAGCAGAATCTCAGAAGCACCCTTGACCACAAGGCGGTAACCATCGTTGCTAGGAAGCTTGATGACAGCACCCATGCATTTCTTGCTGGAATCAAAAGGCATCATTTGAGCAACCTCTTCGTTGGCACGAGTCTCGGCCAGTCCCTGCATCCCGAGGTGGTCCTTGGCGAATTGGAGAAGAGCAGTTTCAGTCTTGGACCCAATGAAGGTAGCTTGACCGTCCTCCTCTCCCTCAAAAGCGGTAGAGTTGATGGCGACGGACTGGACGATGAGCTTCTTGGTGGCTGTAGGAAGTGATTGGGCAAACTCGACGGCGCTGATGGTCTTCTCGCCCTCGCCCGACTTGGAGAAGCTAGCAGAGCCAAAGGTGCCGGCGACAACAGTCATCTTGTTGGTGGTTAGGGTACCAGTCTTGTCGGAGCAAATCGTCGTAGCGTTACCCATCGTCTCGCAGGCCCTCAAGATACGGACCAGGTTGTTCTCCTTCAAAAGTCGGGTGGTAGCAAACGCCAACGCCAAAGTGACAGCCAGCGGAAGTCCTTCAGGGACAGCAACGACGATAATGGTGATGGCGACGATCAAGATATCCATGAATGTGGAAGCCTTCTCAGCACCAGAGCTGTTGTTGGAGCCCAAGCCAGCCAGGAAGCGGATGAGAAGGACGACGAAAAGCAGAAGAGCAGCGCTGCTACCAAGCTTGGCAATAGCCATGGCGAGGCCCTCGAGCTTCTTCTGCAAAGGCGTAGTCTCCATCTCAGTGCGAACCGACATCATAATCTTTCCGAAGCTGGAGTTGGTACCGACGGACGTGCAGACAAAGGTGCCAACACCCTCGAGAACCTTGGCGCCAGAGATGATAAAGGGGTCGAGGTCCTTGGACGCGTTTCCGGATTGCAGAGCGTTGAAGACAGCATCGCCGCCAGTCTTCTTGAGAGCGTCGGACTCGCCGGTCGCCGAGGACTCATCGCACTTCAAATCATGGCCGCTGATGAAAATACCGTCCACGGGAACGAGATCACCAGGTTCGAGGTGAATGACATCGCCGACCAGAATCTCTGCAACATTCAACATGTAAGACTTGCCGGATCGGATAACCTTGACCTCGCGGTCCTCCTTCTTGGCGTTAAGCTTGACAAAGGCTCGTTCTTTTTGCCAGTCATTCAAAGATCCAACCAAAGTAACGATAAGAATAGCAGCGATAATTGCTACTCCCTCGACCCAGTCAACCGGTTGACCTTCTTCGGGGTCATGCTCGGCACCGAAAGTTTCGTAAAGGCCAAGGGCCAGCGAAATCGCGGCGGCGACTGTAAGCAAAATGATAACTTTGTCGTTGTAGGCACCCCACATGAGTTTCCACAAGGGTGTCGCCTTCTTGGCAGGCAGAATATTTTTGCCATAAACTCGGGTTCGGTCAGTGAAACCGTTGGCATCAGCGTGGTGTGTTGTGGCTGATGGCTGTGCACCGGATGTGGCGAAGGAGGGCTCCTGGTGGCCGGTGGCCTCCTGGAAGCTCACTCTGCCCCCAACCCCCACCTCATCTTGAGAAAGACCGGCTTTGACGTCTGTCTGTAATCCTTTTTCGATACCGCGCAGGCCGCCGAGCGCGAAAAAAGCTGCCAAAGATTTCGGGTTGAGCAGTTTGTTGAGGTGCCCAGGGCTAAAGGCAAAAGGATTGTTGTCGACGACGAAGTCGCCTTCCGTCCCGGGATCGGGGTGAAGAGCTGTATCCGGGTCTTCCATTAATGCGGTGGAATGCATACTTGTTGCAGCGCTGATTGCTGGAGTGAGAAAGGGATTTGAGTGCGTCGATATGGGCGACGGTGTTATCGCGTCGTCGTTGTCATTCCCGCGAGGATTGCGGGTGTCGACGCGCAACTGGGGTGGTGCGAGAGACGCCATTAGCACCGATGCAGAGTAGTCTTGATTTGATGCTATGACTTTCTCACGAACGATTGAAAATGATGTTGAGGAGAGGGTGCTAGAAAGAGGAAAGAGAAGATGTTTGCAATAGTGAAAATTGGTGGCAGAAGTTGGTGTAACCTCCGGCGACTTGAGAGTATTAAGAAGGGTAGGTAACACACGAGCTGTACAACAACAAGGCTCTGGGCTGTGTAGGAGGCAACTTGCGTACGGAATTGCCTTCGCGTTCCTTCCAGGTAGAGAGAGAGCCTCGAAGGCGTCAGAATTCCACAACGCTCAAGTGAAGAGCGCCGTGAGCCTGGCGTCAAACTGCGCCTTTAGCCCCGTCGAAAAGAGTTTCCGTTTCTCAAGTGTACACCGACGCCGTGAAGTCAGCCTGCGTGCCAGCTTGTGAGGTGACTTGGGCGAGGCAGTGCAGAGAGGGAGAGGGGTGTTCGGGCGAGAGGCGATTGTCTACTTTCCGTCTGAAGGCGTGTGGAGTTGTAGAGAGTAGGGTGGGATAATCAACCTTGAGTAGCCGTCATGTTTGAGAAGGCCTTGAGAAAGTCCTCACACACGAACGAGACTGGTGATGAGGAAGAAGAGTTTTCAAGAGCGTTAGAGGTATAGGTCGATGCCGACAGGAATCTTGGACCGACGAGACTGAGGGTGGCAGTGCAAACGAGTGTTCACAACGACATGCCCTTCTTGGCAAGTCAAGAGGGTAACAAGTCAACCGAGACCCCACAGAGAATGGACAGATTGGTCAGATTGAAGCACAATGATACGTGCTTGAGAGGTTGCAAGAAAAAGGCGCGCTTGCTTGTCGACTATCACAGCAGGAAGCATATGTTGGTCTTGGCGATCAAGTAACAGGACAAAAAGTCTTTGCACGAGGTGATCAAGAGGGGAAGGAGCCAAAGGAGAGGAGGAGCTCCGATGGAGAGATAGAATGACGTGCCGGGGGGGAATCTCTCATCTTGGATGAGATTAGCAAGACTAGCTGGTGCAAAGAGGAAGCCAAAGGGTGAGAGGGAGGTAACCGCCCAAGGTCTGGGCATTGAGGCTGTGCAAGAGGGAAAAGTGCAAAAGGTCCCGATGAGGGAATTAAATTGGAGCATCAAGAAGCGAGCTCTCTTCAGTGGAAGAACGGCCTGAGTCGGGACCATCCTAGAACCGCTGTGCAACAACGAAATGGGAGTCCAAACCAGGGGGAAGAATGGAGATTGACAGCGTGTAATGGACTCTTGGCAACATTGGCATGGCCAATGTTTAAACCTTGGCGTTTTGTTGATGCAAGTGCCGGGACCTTATCGCGTTTGTCTCTCCAGTATTCCGAGGTATTCGTTTCCATTCTGGCCAGACTTTTCCAGACGAGACCGAGGTTTACGAGTATCCGTACTGTTGGCCGTGAGCGTCAACATGGACATAGATGGGGTATTGCGCCCGAGACTGACTTGAGTGGCGTGCCCATCCTTCGGGTCCCAACAGGGTGCGGTCCAGTATCGTGCCATTCGGCCGCCCGGCGGGGGTGGCCACCATTAGATAGACGCCGTTGGCATCCGTGCTGTTCCCGTGTCCGATCGGTGACCGGCCGTAGTCTGGATGGCGTATCGCTCTTGTCCTCTTGATACTGCCAAGGGATTAGGATGCATGCAAGCGTTTAGGGAATGAATGCAATCGGGTGCTCGTCCTTTGGATTCCGGTCGCTCCATTTCTCTCTTGCACTGGCGAAGAGAGCCACCATACGGATACTGCTGTGGTAGATTGTCGATGGCTTCATCAACCAGCAAAACTCAAGGAGTGACCGACCGGTGCAGGGCCGAAGGTACACGGCAGCGGTGAAAAATGGAGATGAGGAAGGATTAGGTGAGGACCGGAGCATCAGGGTGGAGAAGAGGAACGGGAGAAAAGTCAATGAGGAAAACAGAGTTTGTGATGTGAGAAAAAGGAGTGAACAAAAAAATGTGAAGACAATGTCAAAAAGACAAAAAGAGGAGCCAAGAAATGAGAAAAAAGGGCGGTCGCGATGCACAGTCACAGTCGAATCAAGCTCGGAGTGGAGCCCCCGGGGTCGTGGGGGACTGCGCTAGTCAGCGCCAAGAGTGGCTGTGGCAAGCACGTCCCAAGGGTTCCATTGGTTCGCTCAGCTCAAGCCGAGGTGGGTGTCCTATTGCAAGACCCACTCCAGTCCCCATCAGGTAAGCAGCTGCAGGCAGGGGTGGCACGCACCTACCTTCCCGTGCAGCTGGTGGCAACTGCTCTTGCTCGCTCTTTCCGCAATCGAATTGCAAAGTTCTGGAACATCTTCGGGAATCCGCCGGACTGGTTGACCAATCAAAGACCACTATCTTCGATACGTACCGCCGAATGAAACTCTCATTCCTTCCATGGAAGTCTCCAGTTCTCCACCGTGACACCGTCTGATCCAACTTGACATGCTGCAACCTGCATCGATGCACACCACCACATGGCTTGCACCACATCACAGTTGAGCAGCCAGGAAGCTTCAATATCCATCCTGGTCTCTCAAACAACCTCCATAGGCCTTGGGATTAGTCCTAAACTCTTGGCCAGCATTACACCAATGACCCCAGCGCCCAACGCCTTGACTCGAGCAAATATCCAGAACTAATACCATTTAGCGCCGTGTTCCCTTCCTGTCGGTCTCTCTACTTCCTTGTGGATATCCCGATATCTGCAATGTTTCAAGCATCAACTACCGTGGTCGCGGAAAAATGTCAACGCAATTATCCTGGTCGACGCATACCCAACGCGGGGAACGCGGGGAAGCTTGTTGTCTAGCCAGAGAGTCTTGGCCATGATCCCCTGAACCAGACGGCTTAGCTTCGACTGAATTGCATTCAAGTTGTCCAGCTGATCTCGAAAGGGTGCATCGCTTGAAGCGTCCAAGGAAGGAAGCCATCCATCATCAACGATCAACATGGGGTTTTCCGCCAGTCTACGGTGTTTCTTCGTGGGATAGACTAGCGCCGCGCTGAGCTGTCCAGTTGTTCGACGTAACGATGCCATGCAGGCGAACACGCCGCCATGTCGTATCTCGTCCATAAAGAGGACATTCTCGCCTTTGCGCATGTCAGTCAACGAATCTGCCTGGCTAACAAGGTCTTGGGCATCGTGGCTGGAGTCATTGCCCTGTTCATCTGCGATATCTCGCGTCGCTTACATTTACTTGTCGTTAAGCTTCGCTGCTTTTCCGTCACCGTAGCGTCGACGCGGACGGCGGTTCTCGCATCACTTCGCTCACCCCGCCAAGACATTGGTAGCCCAAGGCTGACCTGAGGTCCTACTCGTTCTCCCCACGAGGCTGAGCACCGGCCAAGATGGGCTTCAATCTCCACGCAGATGGGACAAACGACCCCAGTGAAGTCCGCAAATCGGCGTATTCACATGATAGCAATCATTGCCTCAATGAGTGCCATTGCCAGTAAGTTTCACTTCGCACCCAAGCTCAACAGAGTCGGGACGGGACCTAGGCTTACACAGCCTAGTGGGTTACGACACCTCTGTCATAGGTGGCACCATGGCTCTGGATTCCTTCCGCCAGGATTTCGACCTTGCGGATAGCTCGCCAGTTGTTCGTGATACTCTCCAAGGCAACATTGTCTCCACGTTTCAGGCAGGATGCTTCTTTGGCGCCCTGCTCATGTTCCCCATGGCAGAGTGGCTCGGCCGCAAGAAGGCAATCATGATCTCTGCCCTGGTCTTTCTCGTTGGCAGAACTTTCATGACAGCCTCTCATGGAGAAATTGGACTCCTGATTGCCGGAAGAGCCATCGCCGGCTTGGGCATTGGTGTAACGTCCCTCATTGTCCCTGTGTACATATCCGAAATCAGCCCCCCCGTCCATTCGTGGCCGCCTCATTGGGCTTTTTGAAATTGCATCACAGGGAGGAGGGATGTGCGGCTTCTGGGTAAACTACGCGGTGGATCGCACAATTTCAGACTCAACGCAAACGCAGTGGATTGTGCCCCTCGGCTTGCAGCTGCTTCCGGGAGTCCTCTTGTTCTTTGGCATTTTCATCTGTCCCGAATCGCCGAGGTGGCTGGCAAAGAACGACAGGTGGGAAGACGCCAAGAGAGTCTTGGTTCACATTCGCGAGCTGCCAGCAGACCATGACTAGCACCAAGCTTTTTGCGACGGGCTTTTACGGTATAGCCAAGACCCTGGGCATGGTCATCTTCAACGTCTGGCTCGCCGAAAAAGTCGGCCGGCGCAATGGTCTCATCTGGGGCGCCTTCGTCGGATCCCTTCCAATGTGGTACATTGGTGGCTTCACGTTTCTTGCCGACCCCGCCGGCCAGGCGGCTGCTGGGAATACCGACCGCAATGCATGGGGGTATATCGCCATGGTTTGCGTGTATCTCTATGGCTTGATCTACTGCGCCACTTGGTGAGGCTCCTTATGCTCCTAGTAGTCTGCAGATTGAGGTAGGATGAGGTCTAATTACTCGTACAGGCAAGGCATCACATGGCTGTACTGCAGCGAGGTATTCGGCTTAGACATCCGCATGCTCTGTGTCGCAATCACGACCGCAGACCAATGGCTATGGAGCTTCATCTCGAGAACTACGCCTTACACGATTACGTCGCTCGGCTACGGGACTTACATGTTCTTTGGTGCTCTCATGATCCTGATGGGCGTTTGGGCTTTCTTCTTCGTACCCGAGACCAAAGGTAAGTTTCGCTCCTCGTCCTCCTCCCGCTGGGGCTACCGCAGTCAGAGTTTTACTTATTCCCAGCCTCTTTTTTCATCGTCATGTTCATTGTGGCTGACGCAGGCGCCCGTGCTAGGTCTCACTCTCGAAGATATGGATCTACTCTTCATGAGGAGCATGCACACCACGGTCTGGACCGCATTGCGAGAACGCAAGAGCGTCAAGGATGTCTTGGCGGATACTTCGCCCGCCGCTGTCTATGCGACTGGCTCGGAGGAGAAGGAGATTCGGTTAGAATACGTGGATACTGTGGAAGACAACATGAAGTAAGATAGGGGGACGGGAGACGTCTGAGTTGGCAGGTGAATCTTCTACTTCCTGGTGGAGGCCTCTGCTGAAAGATCTCGTTGGAATCTGTTATTTTGTTGGCTTGAGTGCATCGTTCAATCAAATGGTCCGGTACCTTGTGCGAGGTACTTTCGCTTTGCCAAGCCCCGCTGTCGACATGCACTGCCCAGCGCGAAATGTGCACTGCCACCGGTAATGCTGCGGTGTGACGTAGTTTGTAGCTCTTGTATCTAGAAGAGCGAGTAATTCTGACCTTTTCGCGGTGAAATTCTGACTGAAATGTACTGTGTCTCTTTGTGAGGTGTGAGGGTCTTGACTCTCCAGAGGTTGGTGGGATGCGCCAAGCCTTATCTCAGCGAGGCGCAGTTCACAACTTGCAGTGCTTTGAGTGGTTGGGAGCCAAGGAAGTCCAGATAGCTGCCACACCAACATCAAATAAATCGCGCCTTTTCGGCAGGCCGATTTCATAAATGTAAGTACGTTTTTTCATTTCTCGTCGACGTATCGCGGAAAGAGCGTTTACTCATGTGTCGAGCTAATAGACTCGGATTTCCAAAACGCATGCCGTGAAGTGTGATTGGTCGCTCTAGGCCTACTTGGCGGCCCGATTTCCAATCTCGCAACTTTAATCTGTCTGCCAAAGGCCTGGTGAAGAGGATGATCTTAGCATCACTTCTATCAAACGGGCCGACGCTCGCTGAAACACACGTTAACTGCCTTGGGAACTAATTGGTCAGGCAGATTTACTATTCAATGAGAAAGGCACTCCCGCTGGCTGTGTCATTTACTAGCCTGCATGAAATTTCACGCAGAATGTTGAGTTGTCCGAGATTGCACTCAGTACGTAACTGAACCATCGTATGTTACCTCGCCAAATTGTACATAGAAAAATTCGGCGTTCTCGGTGACGCCTGTTGCCGGCGGGATTGATCTTCTCAGAGTCCGGCCGGGGAGTTCAAGTGGCCTTGCCAAATACCCCGTTTTGTCCGATTGAAACATTGAGCGGTCGGCTAACACAGCCTCCGCCCGGTTGCGCGGGGCCGGAGATTACTGCTGACCTTACCTTACGACTGCGGGAACGAGAACGAGGGTGTTACAGATTTCGAAATTCGTCGTACTATGCCGCCGTGTCTCATCATCTCATGGGCACATCAATGTTGATGGGAAAAGCTCGAGGAAACATTCGTCTGTCGATCTATTACATTCGACCCAGAGTCATCTCGTGGAGTAGCACATCGATTACAATCATCCCATTGAGTCCCGAACTTCGCCGGGTACTTCTCTAATAGGACCCCCTTCTGCTTGGTACGAGCAGATGGAGGAGCTTAGGTCGATATCGCGGAGAGTATCTTAAAAAGGAATCGAATTGTTGTGACTATCTTGCTGTTTGTCTCAAATGATCGTAATTATCTCCTTGACTGAGCTGCTAAAAAGCGCTTTAGCAACACCAATATCATTCCTACCCCAAACATCAAAGCAGCCCAGTCTCTCATACTTGCCCTTCTCCATTTTCGACTCTCTCAGGACCAAGAATGTCGTGAAGCGAGGGTATTCCGTATCTTCTACAAAGGCTTCAACTAACTCGCTCGGTAGCTCACATGCCTGTGGGATGGCCGCAACAACTGTGTCTTCAACGTCCGCCTCGGCATTCTCCCCGTCGTCCGGCCTCTTCCACGACATTTTCACTGGATTGCTCAAGCCAATAATTGCTCCAAACCCCCCTTCCTCCGGAGAAAAGTCCCTCGTCCCCAAAAGCAACACCACAACTTCGCCAAGATTAGATCCCCAAGCCTGTACCAAGCCGTGCGGATCATCGGGTACGAACTCGATAAAGACATCATACGGCTCAGCAAGACTCAGGAAGCAAGAGTCCTTGACGTCACCGCCATCGTAGATACCATACATGATGTCCAGCTGCATGCCGCGAACCAAGTACCCGTCGAGCGTGACAAAACCAGAAGACACCTGGCCCGTCGGTTCGTTGGCGTTGACGGGCACGACGTCGACTTCCATGACCTCGACGAAAGGGATAAACGGTGCCCAGGGCCGACAATATAGATAGGACATTGGACCGCGTAGGTGCGCCCAGCTTCAGGTGGGAGCTACATACCCGCCGGACTGGTGCCAGTCTTCGAGGAGGTTACGTTCAGCGAGGATCTTGTCCCATGCTTCGCTGTCTTCGTTTCTGTCCACACCAATGTTTAGGATTCGCCGGTGTTTCGTAGCTTTCAGGAACCCCTCCAAGTCTCCCGGCGTCGGCGGTTTCCACGCAAGGCCTTCAACCAAATAGTTCTGCCAGAGTCCGGCCAGGTATTCGTCTTTACCATCAGTATCTTCGCCAACGACATCCTGCATGACGCGCTGGAACTTCTCAATGAGGCCTCGGAGAGCTGGCATCTTGTCTGTCTCGTACGCGAGAGATCGTTTGGCGTATTCGCGCACAATGTGTCACCAGTGCTCGTACAGCCCTTCTCGGCTGGTGATACCGCTAGGCGCTAATTCTCGCGTTGACATGTTGGATTCGCGGCGGCATTCGCATTCTGTGAGGGTATTGCATTCCCATATCATTTCTTCCTTTCTGAAATGAAGGACTCGAGGGCTCATCAGGCGTTCTTGCATTGTCCACCCGCGTTGGTCGATGAGCTGGGTCATGTCTGACGCCCGGCCAGACAGGGACGCGCGGCTTGACCGCTTGATGTAGACCAGATCCTCGCCTCCGGGGTCGTAGTACGTCTTGTAGTCCAGCGTAGATAGAGTTTGGTCCGACTGAAAGAGACCCTGGGTAGCTGAGTTGCTCCCATCGGCGCTCAGTGGGAGTGTTGCGCCAGAGTACACCGCACACATGAGAGCCGCTTCGTGGGCCCAGTCCTCTACGGAATCTTGAACGATACAGAGCCGGTCAACCCAGAGATGGCCTAGTTCCAAGGTCTTTGCGGCATGAACTGCATTTATAATCGTCTCTGGAAGATCGCTCATTGAAATGCCGAAGTTTTGGTGGTCCCGGTAGTTGTCTTTGGTTGTGATGAGATCGGGCCCTCCTGGGCCCCAGCAGTAGCTCAACGCAGCGTATTCACCTTCAATGCCCTTTGTCTCTTTGAGATAAACGCGCGAGGGGTCCTGGCCTTGCAACGCTATCACTCGAGATGGTAGGAAATGCGGCGCAGTTCCTGCACACTTCGGATGTCTCTCACGGCAGCTATCGAGCCATGATTTGGCCAGCTGGAGAGCTTCGTCGGATCCTGAGCTAGGTAGCACCTTGCAGATGCCAACCTGCCAAGTTCTCCTGTCTTCTTCTTTTGCAGTGATTGTGCTGACGGGAGTCTCATGAGACCAAGCTGTGAGAAAAGTATTAGCACTTTCACGGTGACAAGAAACGGAATAAATCAATTCTTCGCGCAAAAAGGGCTTCTTGCAGATGGAAGTGCCCACGAACAGTTCTTTTTCCATATCAGAAACATTCTGCCCCCTTCTGACATACTTTTCCCCGCGCATAACAAACTCTTCTTCAGTCGCAATATCAGAAACAACAGAGATATTCAACCAATCCCGCCACTGTATCCTGATCCTGATTGTAATCTCATCATCGTCGTCAGGAGGCCACTTGAGGCCCTCTGGGGGAGACTGAGCGAACAGCCTCCACACAAAAGTACAGAATCCACAGCTCCTTGTGTCTGCAACTTCCTTGAGTGTACCGCCCTTTACTATGAATTCTTGATAAGGCCCACGATGCATGTCAGCCGGCTTGACCTCAAGTCATTCGACATCTTCACAGACTGAGCACACGGTCGGCTGCATTTGCACCAATCGATGCGTGGGGTCGTGGCCGATGCCTTGATCGGGAACGACAGCGCATGATGAACAAAAGTCTGCCTGCGTTGTTTGACAGTCTAGACACCAGTACCGAAGGCCTGATATCAACTCGTAGTCATCTGGATCGTTGCGTAGCTTTTCGCACCTGTCGCAAGTTGCGTCGTTGTGCATTGGCGGATCAAGAACGAGGCGATTGCGGAGGGAATCCTGGAACTCGTATAAAGGGTTGGCGACCTGCGGATCAGGATCCTGTAATATTTCAGTGGCTCTCTCGCGAAGAGGTAAGATGTGCCGAGCCTTGATCCAGTCTAGGAGTGACATGATTAAGTTGTGTCGTCTTGATAAGCCGCGCTGAGAGATTGAGTCTAAGTCGCATGTGAGCTTTCAGACAACAACGCTCGGCCTGTTCTTTGCTAAAGTATGCGCATTGAGTGTTGAGAGGAGACAGAATACATTTCGCGCCTCAGCCTCACATGCGCTTCAGGCTCCCATATGGTAGGCCTCCATTCTAACTGGATGACAACGTGGGCCGGGCAGGGGGCCCTGTGTTGGAAACATCACCATTGCGACACTGTGCTGACTTCAAATCTTCCGCCCCACACCAGGCAAATATCTCGGTTGGAGGAAATGGGGTTTGTCGAGGTTGGACATACTTCTAGCACTCAAGATTTCGCGTAGGCGTTCAAATTTGACGAGGGGCTCCCAAAGCACATGTACATCCACTCATTTCGCCAGCGTCATTAACATGAAAGTTGAGGACCTCCCAATGTTTTGGTGATTGAAGCAACAGAGATACCAACACTGCCTAAATACTTAGTCACAGTGTTGTCAGTTCAAGATCCAGAAGCATCATCGTCTATCCGACAAGGGATTCGTTATGCGATACCAATACGAGGTTCAAGGTCCTTGTGCCGTTATTTAGTAAAGCTATCGATCTTGGTCTAGTAACGATTGATAGAGGTAGTATGAACGGTCGTCGTATCGCAAGGCCTAGTGCAAACCTCGAGATCAAGGGGACTATGTTGGTAGTCTTGATTTTAGCCTGAAGAGATATCCCATCAACTGTTAGAGGGCATCGGTATATACAAATAACGGATGAGCTAATAATCCGACCCTATTTCCCTCATATCCGCCTATGAATAGTCTCGAAATAGAGTAAAATTGAGAAGGTCTGGAGACGGATATAGTGCCGCTATCTAGTAGTCAACGGAATATAGAAAGAAAAGGACGTGAGGTACGGGACCAGTAATGTATTAAAGATGTGCTAGTATCGTGGAGATGCGCTGATTTCGTAAAGTTGTGCGGGTGTTGGAGCGATGCGGTGGTGAGTCAAAGAGAGGTGTTAGTGTAGCGGAGAAAGGTTGAAAATGAGGGCGACAACCTGGAAGGTAGGGAAGCTCTTCCGGCCAAGAAAGAAAAGGGTGAAAACAAGCTCGACGTTAGACAAAGGGGGCTCAATCTTTTCATCTAAGCTGCTCCGTCTAATGTCATTCTGGCCCAATTCTGCTTATGCATAACTTATCACAGTAGAATCCATCAATTCCCAACACTTACATGATTCGCTACCATGCCATTGGTAAGATTACGCCCGATTACACGGATCGAAGACATCTGGGCAAGGAAAGAATGAATATCTCCCACCGGGTATTTCTTGCGGAGGAGAAAGTGAAGCAAGGGCAAAAAAGGATCGCCTTGTCACCAGGTTCGGTCCTGTCAAAGATTGCATATGGGAGAAATTCCGAACTTTTTCCTGGATTCTATGCCGTAGAAGTTACATCCGGGTAGACCGACGTTGCCAGTGGGATGGCACAGTTGAGGACTGCCGGATCGCAACGTGAAACACCTAGAACGCCCTACCCTTCAACGAAGCCATCAATGACTTCGGGACTTCACATTACGACAAGTAAAGTGGCTGTGCTCATACAACGCAGAATTAGAAGTAAGCATGAAAAGAAAGCCGCAATAGACTGGATTTAACGACCTGAAAAGTCGGTACAGACGGATGAACCCCTACGTCTGAAAGAAGAGTCAAACGCTGCAGAGCTGACGTTGGGTTTGGACTTCATCTGAACTTATTAATACTCGACTATATCATTGTAGCAAGTCAATGTGTCGGGTCCCTTTCCACCTGAGGCTCTTCGGGCCGTGGCTCGCCGCCGCTGCGGTCCTGGTCCTCGGTCAGGACGCAGCAGATAAGGCAAAGTTTGGTGACCCTATCAACGTCCTCGGCAGTGTAAGTGCAGTCCATCGTCCAAGATCCAATGCTTTACATCTACTAAACACAAGCCCCCAACAGATGGAAAGAACGGACCAAGACTTTCAAGATGGCTTAGCTCTAGATCTCTTCTCACCCAAAAACCTCACGCTGGTCGTCCAACAGAACCTCATGCCTCTACCGGGCAACTTCGTGACGGGCACCACGGGCGGACCCTTCATGGCGCTGCAGAACTACTCGTACGTCATCAGCCTCAACGAGTCGGTAGACGACCTCATCGCCAAGATCGAGATCCCCTACGACCCGACGGCGCTCGCCTCGATCGGTATTCAGGAGAGCAATACGTACGTCGGTACATTGGCTGGGGATAAGAAAAGCTGGATTGTCAACGATGCGACGCGCAACGTTTATAGAGAAGAGAACAATACCAGGATCATCAAGATGACGTCGCTCCAGGGCGAGTATATTCTGCTTGGACGGAAGACGGAGGATACAGCCAACGAGTTTGTGCAGTACGGTCAGGGGGCTACAAGGACGGTCAACGTCACGGCGGGAAACCGACAGGAAGCGGAGTTCATCGACGGCTTGAGGCTGAGTGTTGTGCCGAGTACCAACATGGGCATCAGCATCGATATCGTCAATGGGATTTCACCAAAGGCTGTTCCGCCGGGGTTGGTGCCAGTTAACAGCTTTGCTTGGGTTGTCAACTCGAGTTCCCCTGGCGCGCCTATGCTCGCAGACATGAAGTTTCCGTGTAAGTGCTTCTACGAAAGTGCCCTCGGATATAGACGAGGTACCCTTGGACTGACAATCTGGCTTTTAGTCAATCCTTCTATGCTTTCCGCCGTTCGAGGGTTCGTCCGGCCGGCCCCAGTCCGGGTGGCGAAGAAGGCACTTGGAACCACTGCTGAAGTACCATTCCAACTCATGGCTGGTGAGATTGTTGAGATCTTGCCAGACAATTCGGTTACTATTCCGAATGTGACCCAAGTAGACGGCCAGTATGTTCTGCTTATGGTATCATAGTACAAATGATAGATACCTAAGTGTACACAAGCGTCTATTTCCTGCGTGAACAGTGATTTTCTTTGACGTACGAGCCGGCTGGAAGGTGTTGAGGCAGTCGATATCGTGTAAGCTGTAGCACATGTGTCTAAAACCTGGCAAGGTCTAGAAAGGGTGTTGGTCAAGCATTGAACATTGAAACTGTGTAGGCATGTAATCACACTCTCTCCTCCGCCCCATCCCATCCCACAACGCACATCACCATCCTCCTCCCCACTCTCTCAACCTCATTGACGGAGGCCCCCTAAGCACAAAGCGTCAAAACAACATCCTGATCCGCCGTACAAACCTTAACCTGACTCCCCCCAGGACTCACCCCACCCGCCCACACAATAGCAGGACAACTCGCAAGCCGACTCGCAACAACAATCTTGCTCCCCTTGAACCCGTCCCCAAAAACGGTGCTCAGATCGTACCACACGCCGCTGCCGTCCAGGTTATACGCGTACACGAGCTGCGGGGCGCCCGTGTACAGGCCGTCGCGCGCGCGGGTGACTTTGAGGGCCCGGCCGCCGGTCGTCGGGTCCCGGGTGAAGGTCTCGCTGTAGGTGCCGCCCTTTGCGGCGAGGGGTCCCGCGGCGCGGACGTCGCCGCCGACGGACCAGAGGGAGACTTCGGTTGCGCAGTTGTTTACGACTGTTGCTTTGCCGAGGGCTGTGGTTTGGGTTGCCAAGGCGATGAGGGGGATGAGGGACTTGAGTTGCATTTTTGGAGGCTGGTGGTTTTAGTCTGAATGGGAAGTTGGGAATTAGATGTTTGGGGGTCAGGAGTGTGATGAGGCTCGTGGGTTGACTTGATTGTGGTGATGTTATCGTGATGAGCTTGAGGCTAATGCTGTTTAAGAAGCTGATGTACGGATCTATCTATGATTTATATATCGAGCCGGTGACCGCCTTTTCACAAGTTCCCAGTGAAGTCATTGTATTCTGTCACGAAAAGACAACAGGTCTCAGCTGCCGGGCGACGGCACAGAAGCTAAGGCTTTAGATACGAGCGCCGATCAGATTGAAATGTCACGATGTTTCCTAAATGAGCCTTCATCGCACCTCTCTCCTCTGAGAGCGTCTGCCCTACCACGCCTACATCCTCTGTCAGAAGTTCCTTCTGACAGGATCATCCCACCCTACATGAAATAGACTTAAAGTCCAAGACAAGCCTAAAGACACGAACCGATGTGACGATGCCACGATGTCAAGGACGAACACGAACTTGCTGCTCGGGGAAATAGATTGAAATGACGCTCGCCCCTCATTCGGGAACTTTGGATTGATGGTCAGGAGGTTCGAGACATACACTTGAGCATGCTGAATACGAGCTTTTCTCCGCACAAAATGTTGCCTGGCAGCTGCATGCAATATCGATTACGGAGTCCTATTCAACCAGCCATGTCGTTGGTGGTCTTGGGGGCACACGGGAAGTTGGTGGGAAACGGCCGGTGGGCTGACGTGAAGCGTTGCGTTTTGCTTGGGTTTGGGCGAGTGACCTCGTGAGTGATCTGCCGTGTGCTTCCCCGCATCCCTCGGCGCGGCTCATCGGAGACATAACTGCTGTTAGCTGTGGAGCTGAGCTGAGCTGCCGTCGCCGCCGCCGCCGCACAGCGACTTGGGCTTGTGCTTGCACAGCTTACCCCTGCTCATCCGCAACATGCCGCAGGGCAAGGCGGCCAAGGTAGAAGGTGAAGGGCGGGGGAGAGCTAGCGTCGGGCGGGATGGGCATTTCTCCTCTTTGTGGGCCAAAATAGTATCCCTCAGCTGTGTCTCGAATGCGGATGAACCGAAAGTCAGACACTCGACGATGGTCAGACACGGGTTAGCCCTTGCTTCCGCCTAGTTGTCAACGGGGGGCAGATCTGTTGAGAAGAAACGATGTTTTCGCCTCAACGAGACGAAAGGACCGCCTCCTGGATTTCAGCCACAGTTCTCACCTGTTCGAGTAACGTTGCGATGTACAATTTCTATCCAAGATAGCAGAGGGCAAATTTGATTTAATTTTTTTGGTCGGGTATAGGTATTCATAATCCATCTGTCCATTGCGCCAAACACCAGCCGAAACAAAGGTCTCCCAAAAGTGTGAGAAAAAGAAAGGAAAAGAGAAGTGGTCCATATCCATCTGATCGTGTTGGGTATCAATGCCTAAAAGCAGCTTCCAACTCCTCGCTGTCGTCTCGTAATTCCATTTTTCGAACCGATCAAAGATTGCTCTTTCTGCCCCATATATCCTCGACGTAGCTTAGTGTAAATAGTGAAGTAGAATAGAAGATAAAATAAAACGAAGTGGGAAGAAAGGATACGCGGAAAAAATTAGCGAGATCCAAAGGTAGGCATCGTCGACTCCTCCTTCTTGCGCTCACGTTTGGCGTAAATCAAGCCGCACACGTTGCAAAGCGTGCTGGGACCGTCGGGACCAGGCCGCCATTCCGGGGTATCAACGCGGTGACACTTGTGGCACGAGAAATCGATCGTCTTGCGGCGATGCCTGCGGCCCCCCGGGGGACTGCCTCTGTTCCCGGCATGGCTCCTGGAAGCGACGAGCTGTTGCTGCTCACTGCTTCCCTCGCCCGACTTGCGCTTATTCGCATTGGGCTCTTCCCTTTGGAGGGTCCTGATCTCGTGTATATCGCGGGCGATGCTGTGCGATAATCTTAACATGGCACGCAAATCGTCCTCGGTGGGCAGGGCGTGGTCGTTGGTGGCCTCAAAGCCAGCTTCCGGGCTGGCGGCATTGTAGGAGGGGAATCTACCGGTCAGGCGAAGTAATTGCTGAGCACCATGGCGGATCTGAAGAAAGTAAAAGATTAGACGGAGGAATCACTGCCTTGGCTGACGAGCGTGAAGTTGACCACGAGATGTGTAGGTACTCATGTTCCAATGGAGCAGGCGGGTGGGCCCGATAAGCCCTCCCGATAAGAAATGGTGAAGGAGAAAGGGGTGCATAAAATAGACTCACGCGCTGATGACTCTCGCCTTGGCGAAGATGGTTCCAAGAGACCCTACTGGGAGACCCAGGATCGTCTTGGCCATCATTGCCGATGATGAGATGCGATTCGTTGGGGTTTATCGCAGTCGGGCCATGTGTGCCAGCGGGCGACGACCCTGATCTCGGGGTGGAAGCGGATCGTGGGTTGGAGGGGCCGGAAGGCATCAATCGGAGCGGTGACCCAAGGGCCGGCCAAGCACGGAGGGTACGCACACGGCAGAGAGGGGCCGGACTGCCCAAAGAGACGAAATAAACAAGGCCTAGATTCGAGGCCGAACGAACAGAATGAGCCCGGGGGTCTAGACCCGGAGCGATCGGAGCAGGTCCGCAGACGCAAAGGTCATGGACCTGGACGGTGCGGTGCGACAGGCAGCAGTAGCGGTAGCGGCAGCGGCAGCGTCGGCGACCACGACGGCGGGCTGGTGAGATTGCAGTGCCAGAAGCACAGGCGGGTTGTGCGAAGCAAATGGCAGTGGTTGTGTGGGTGCCCAGGATGTCGAAGAGGGCCGATAGATCGATCGGTGGTGTTGGAGCTCGATCGTCGGACATGGAAGGAATCGGGATCGAGAGCGATCGAAGGCGGGTGAGTTTTAAGAGGGAAAGTTGGCGTCGGGCCCTTTGTGAGAGGTGGCGAAATGTTTTGCGGCTTTTCCCATGGGAATTTGCTAAGAACGGCAAAGCGACAAGGGGAAAGAAGAGACGGCAAAAGATGCTAAAGTCAGCGGGGACTCGGGAGGGGCAGGCAGCACCACCGTCCACAGTCCACAATCCACAGTCCACAGCAGCACGGGGAGGGGACCACTGTTCACACTCGCTGGAGCGGGGGGGATTGGACCCTGAAAATTGAGAAATTCGGTTTTTGGGACGCCGACGGGCCCACCTCGGTTCACCGTGGTGGAGGCACGTTTTGCAAGGGTGTCGTGTCTTCGGGGTCCTTCTGGTCTTTCTTACATAAGCGACTACAGATAAGATAGGCACTGGGTCAATCTGAGCGGGCCTTTTGCTCCGGCCCGGCGATACCCTACAAAGGTGCCCGGTCGCCATTGGCGGACCACACTCCGGAACAATCCTCCTGGGTTCCGGCATAGAATGGAAGGAATGATCATCAATCTGCATCATGCATTACACGAAATCACTGCCGTTCTTTTTCTCTATCGATAGGATGCTATCCAAATTACTACACTACATCAGGGAATCTCTATTTCCATCTCCCGACAGCGAATGACTCCGTTCCGACATCACAACTCGTCTCTATCCCATTCAGGTTTCGGGCAACTTGCTGACCGCTTCTCGCAGACCCACGACTCCTTCTTGTCCGGATCACCACCAGCAAACTTCACAGTCGCAGGATATGCGCACAACGGCCTCGTCGGCGCCGTGCTATCGTTCCCTCCACTCAACTTGAACCCGTCCATCACAGCGGGCGTCTTTCCCTCCTCGACCCAAGCCCGCAGCGTCTCCAACCCCTTCAGCGGGTAAAACGTGCCATTCATTCCATAGCAGTGGTACACCCCCGGCGCCTCGAAGTGGCGATAGTACTCATCTGCCGCCTCGTCCACCGCCAGCACTTGGTCGTAATAGTCCCTCGACGTGCGCATCGTCACACACTCGTCAGCCAGCCCGTGCCAGCTAATCATCTTGCGCCCCAGCCTCTTGAACAATGAGAGGTCTGGATTGTTCGCTCCAATGATGCTGTCAAACTCCCGCCTGCTGGTTTCGTAGGCCGCTTCCAGATCGGCAAACGTCATGCTGCTCACGTCGTAGCTCGGGTCCTTGTGAACGAGGTTGCGGATCCACTCCACCGACATCTGGAATGGCCGACCAACGCAAGGCGAGTCCGGTATACTGCAGTTGGTATTGCCGAGCCCGAAGCGGCCTGTGAAGGGTGCCCCTTTCGGATACCCCTTCGGCAGCCAAAGCGGTTTCCCGTCCGCGCCATGCGGGCCCCGCCAGATCTCCCGCGCAACCTCGGCCGCCTCGGCCGACATGATCATCTTCATGTTCCCGCAGTCGAGCTCCTTGCCGACCACGCTCGCCGGGTCAAACGGGCACTTATCCGGGTCCGCGATGATATTGTCCTTGACGCCGTCCAGCTCGTCACACGCGTCAACCGCGAACTGCGTCATGAGAATCAGCTCGCAGATGTGCGGGTACACGCCCATCTGGTTCATCACAAACTGCGGCCAGTACGTGCTGATGATGAGACTCGGCTGGTTCACGGCCGGCGCGCCTGAGAGGATGCCGTCGTAGTCGCCCGGATACCGTTGCGCTTCGATAATGCCCTGCCGGCCGCCTGTCGAGCACCCGCTCCAGTACGAGTACTCTGGCGTCCGAGAGTAATACTGCGATACAATCGACTTTGCGATGACGGTCATGTCGTGCACCGCGACGTGGGCGTAGTTCACGAGCAATCGCTTATTGACCGTGCCATCCTTCTTCAGCGCCCAAGCCGCCTCTTCCCACGTTGTGTGATCGTGCCCGGCATCCGTTGAGCTTGCTATCCCGCTGTCAGTTCATTTCAACTAGATGACTGAAGGACCAGTAATAACACCACTGAGGAGAGGAATCAAAGACCAAAACGTACTCGCATATCCCTGCGCCAGCGTCGCAACGACGTTTTCGCTCCCAAACTGCCCGGCCGAGTACCCTCCTCCTCCGACGCCCACGAACCGTCCGTTCCACGCCTCAGCGGAAGGAAGCCATATCTGCACCTGCGTCACGTCGTCGAAGCCCGTGTGGACGTACTTGACCGTCACGTTGCAGAAGCTGACACCCGCTGAAGGGATGGCGGCGCGACCTTCTGGCGTCTGGGGGTTGAACGTCAGATCTCTGACCGCGGACGCCGTTACGCCCACGAGGTCTGCGCCCTCGAGCTCAATGGGGAATTTGAACGCTTCGGGCGAGCACGGCTGTTGATTCGCGGCCGTGTTGCTAGACGGTGTTGCGTCGCTTTGGGCTGGTGTTACCCAGTCTGCTAGGCGCAGCAGCGTTAGGAAAGTTGATAGACTCCTCATGATTGATTTTCAATGAAGGAGCCTCCCAATCACACAATCGGCACCAAATTGTAACCAGGTCGACTTAAAAGAGACTGTCAAATGGTTATCTAGGTCGGATGTGGCGGTGGTTGGTAACTGAGGCGTTCCCGCTGGTTCGGTGCTCAGACCTCGAGCATGACACACAACGAACACGTCGGGTTGATGCGTCACGGTTCTCCAACAGCTCAGACGGAATTTCGGAGAGAAGGAAGGCCCCGTCGCATGAAAAAGAAAAGAAAAAGGCACACTCAAGTGGATTCGCGACATGGTCTTAAGGACCTCCGAGGAAAGCCACTGTCAAGCTAAGAAGCCCAAGGTGGTAAATGCCATGGTAGATGTGTGGATGAGTTGGCAATGCGGCCGGCCTGGTGCGCGGGAACAGTTATCCGCCTTACAGCTCGAATTACCCCACAAACGGGCAACGAACCTAACCTTAAGAGTCGCCACATGCGAACCGCCGCGTTGGCGCGTAGATCCAAGACAGTAGCCCTGCAGAACGAGCCGGCGGCCTGCAGAACCACGTCAGCCTTACTGACTTGGCAAGTGTCATGTAGACTATTGCAAGCCTTGCGCTTCCGATCCCGTCTTTCTATTCTACGAATTACGTACAAGTAATTCTACCGCCTCACTTTCAATTGAGGTGAGATACTTCCCGAGGTAGGTAAGACGGTGAGGTGGGCACGTAGGGTAAGGTAGAAATGTTCCCGAGAGCTTGCTCGGGGCCGGAAGCTCGCCTGCCAAGTCCGCGCGGCTCTTTAACTGGTTCGGGTTCGTACTACATTGAATGCGATGATTGTTCAAGCTTTAAGCGAAGCAAGAGACGAATCTTCTCCTGTTCCCGCATGAAATCTTGGGACTATTATAAAGAGGCGATCCTATCGGAAGCTATCCTCTCTATTCGCCACATCCCGCCACGAAGTATGGCGGATTCATCAAACTTTGACCCTTTTTGAATTCACATTCTTTGTCAGAAGATATTCACAACCTCCACGAAACATCTCTCCAGCTTGGCACGGGCTGTTAGTGCCATGCTAAGGAGGGGCCCCAGTCCCCGCGGTTTGCCGCTGCGCGCTGGGGTGGATTAGCTATACGCTAATCAAACCCTTAACAACGCACATTTTCCCCTCGAATCGAGCCGACGATTATTCAACCTAACGAGCCGCCGTCGACTCGAATTCGCCTTCCGCAGGCTAGACGAAGTCTTCCTGGTAGGGCAGGGAGCAGAGGTTCCATCTAGCCTCCCGAAGGAGACGGGCGACTTTCTTTCCCGGCGCAAGTGGCGCTTCCGGGCCCAAATTGAACATCACCGACCGACTTTTCGACTTCGCTCTCTCAGCACCTTTGCCCCTTAAACGATCGAAGACTCCCTCGAAGAGACGAAACGACCATTGGGTAGCGATGTATAGCCGCGGCTATATACAGCTATGCTCGTTACAGAACCTAACAGCAAGCCCTACAACCTAGTCTTACGAGGTTTTGCCCCTTGTGGTTTCCCTTGTGGCGGTATTACCTATTACGATATACTCCGGACGGTTACTGGAACGTTGTGTAAACCAGAAGCCTGCGGGCTCTGGGTCGAAGGATAGGAGATACTGGCGGAATTGCGTTCTAGGGACGACCATAGCACTGTCTCGGGCAAGCCAGCGGCACCCAGAGACAGGTTAAACACATAGTTGCCTTTGGGCACGATTTGGAGGACGAGCTGGACTGTATCTAGTGATAGCTATAGGCCTACGGCCCTCCACGCCATATACCCTTCGGGAGGTCTGCCGCAAGGGCGACTGCGCCCTTGCCGCTACGGCGTTAAAATACAACAACAACAACAACAACAGAAGATATTCAGTTTCGTGTTGACAATGGTTTGCTTCCTCAACCAATCTCACGGAGCGGCAACAGGGGGGGATGAAAGGTGTAGACTCTAGGTACGAGGTGAAGTTCAAACTTGACTGGACAGGTACCAGACTTGATCCCGCTCCATAAGTCAAGACTTTTCACTTGAGGGATTCATTTGTAGAGACATGCAAATTGTCTACTTCAGAAAAGTTCTGTTCAGTCCAACTGTCTATCCCATCGACTGCGAGTCAAAGCCAGTATCCCTTCGAGTGCGAGATAACGTCAAAATGTATATCTCCATATTTCTCCAACTGCCCGAATTTTTGATTTGAGGATATAACGGAAATAGGACCGGGTTAACGTATAATTGGACATGACCCCAAATAGTGTACGTATCTCTTTCGTACTGACGTTATCTCGCACTCGAGGGGATAAACGTCTCCAGTTTTGTCTTTTTCAATAACGTGCATCATAAGCGAGCGGATCGGACAAGCGAGCGGATCGCTCGACAGCAACCACTCCACGTATGTAAATCTTGATCAACATCAACAAAGTTTAATTAATTGAAACTACCCATAATCCTCTTCTCTAGACATTTCTCTCTGAAATGGACATGTGCGCGCATTGTGTCCAGTGTTCCCACAGACGCCACATCGCCGTTGACCTATTTCCGTCCTCGGCCGACGGCCACTACTCCGGCGCATTTCCTCCTCAATCTAAGCTATAGCCTCTAGAAGAGTATTACGATGCATCATAGCTACTATCCCTTTAAAGATATAGTCAACTACGTTACTAGCTAGTATTAGCGAGCTATTTAAATAATTTAAGATTCGATCTTTAATCAAAGTTGACTAAGAATTTGCCTCTATTGGGTTATTTAGTATCTAAGAAGTCCACGCTAGGGGTATTACTAGGAGAGACCCTGGGGGCGTTAGAGTATATAACTTCACATCCAGCTTCGAAAGCACACTTTCAGCACTTAACAGAACAAGCCCAGCCCCTCTAAAACCTCCCTGGATGTTTTTTACCATTAGGGCTTGCGTGAAAACGTTACGAAATGCAGGGAAGAAATCCTCCTTCGTAATATACATATTACCCCGGCGCATCTTATCCTCAATTTATCGACCATAAGCCGTCTTTAGTGGCCCAAAACACCCAACGTCTAAGGGCTAAAGTAGATAAGATGAATAGGTCGGCATACAGAGTATAATGATATTATTTTCCTTGCAATATATCTCAAAGTCCGCAGAGTAGTGACTTTCATACCCATCAACAACAAGGAGGCGATATCTACCAATTACACACGGTTTTATATACCGATCAAAGTACTAGAGCTAATCTAGGCCTCTTTCATTTATTATCCATCCGTTTTCAGACGTTATAATAACCTAGTCGCGTAGGAGACCTGTTTCTATGTATCAGGTGGAGAGGTAATATTAGCCTGCGACGATAATGTACGGCGGAACGCTATAGCCTGACGAACTGATGGCTTAAATGACTATAACCTATTTACGATTATCAGGCTGCGTTATTTTCGTGTTTGAACGCCTTTCAGCACTCGTAATAACTATTCCGGATATAATCTAGCCCATCATAAACCCAGTCTTATCAAAGTTATAGATATCGGAGTCTACGATGCCGTACTTCGTGATTATGTTCGCCACAAGGCAAAACCATGCGTTTATCGCGTCTAGATCTTCGTATTAGGCCCTCTTGTAGTTATATTTATGAAAAAAGCGCGTCCGGAGCTATAGTTATCGCTTAACGAAGTTCGAAGCCCAGCGCTTCCTAACTATGGGCGTATTGCGGTCGGCGAGTAGTCGAGTAGCTATTTCTTCTATACTACTAATCCGAGGAGGGAATAATCGGGAATCTAGGTCGAGAATATACTTAACTAGCATATCCTCTTCGAGTAACGTCAAATTCCGTAAGTTTAGTACGGTTTCAAGTTGCAAAGTTCTTCTATTAATACGGGCGCGTAAGGTTAAAAATAGCACTAAGTAGATCCGAGCTATACCTTTAATACTCAAATTTGGTATTTTTTCGATAGCTTGAACTACTAGAATTATACTAGCTTCTTTGTTTAATGACTGTATCATTATGGTGGATGGATATGTATTGGAAAGAAAAAGATGTGGCGGTCGCTGTTGAGCGATCCGCTCGCTTATCATGCACGTTATTGATATTTGGTTTTTCGATTTGCAGGAGGAACGGATATAAGACCAAATCATTGGATTATTTACTATAATTTCTTTAAGAGCTGCGTGCTTACATGCATTGGTTCGACATTTGTGCCCTTTTTTCAAAACTTGGCTATGCTAAGGAGAATACCATTCTTTAGGTTGTGCTGGAAATGAAACAACTTTCTTTACTTACCTCAATCAGGAACACACAGAAAAGAGGAACGCAATGTCCTTGTTAGTCGGTTCCTGTAGAACCAAGAGGTCTTTGTACGCGCCAACACAAGTTGACAAAGCCCAACACTATTCTTGGCACTGTTGTTACATAGTAGTCTTGTGAAGAACTGCTTGATGCTCCCCTTTGAGGCTGGATCAAGACCATTGTGCAACTACTTCTCTTCATTGGTACAGTTAGAATAAGCTGCCTCAGAATGTTGCAGTTGTATATGAAGACACGAGATGCTCTTCATCTCCTGTTTCGAACATCAACGACTTACAGACAGACCAGGAAACCAATACATCACCTCAGAACAAGCCAGCATCAATCCAGCTTTTGCTTTACAGAATACTATACTTCCCTGAACCCTCAAAACGCATCACTCTACTCCCTCAAAATCAACAAGATGCCCGGCGATAGGCAGAAATCCATCATCGGCAAGGTCTTTGGCGGCATAAAGATCAAGATGGATAGAATCACCAACGGAAAATACCAACGCCACTTTTGCGCGTCGCGCCAGATCGAGCCCTCGCACTGCCGCCGCCTAGTCATGATCGAATGCACCTACGACGTCCCCATAGGCCCGAACGAGTTCAACGACATAATCACCAACTGGTTCGACCCGCACCACGGCACACTGCCCATGGGGCTCTACAAGAAGATGGCCAGCATCGGCGTCATGAAGAAGCACTCGGACGGCAAGCACACCTCCTTCCGGCTCTTTGTGATGTTTGGCGAGGGTATTCCCATCGAGCAGTGCATGAAGCGTGGCGATCCGGATATTTTGCCCGATGTTCTGAAAATGTTGTTCCCGTTGAGTAGAGTTCTTAGTGCGAAACGAGAGATTATTACGTGTGATGTGTCTCGGGATGTTTTCGATTCTCATGTCACGCTTCACGAAACTCGGTGCTGGAAGGGAATTTGGTACGAAAAGAACGGGGAATCGGAGCCAGCACAGGCAGTAGGAACAACGTCGATGCTGAAGTGGAAGGCATTCCGAGAAAATATGTGCTGGCGGCCGAAGTATGGTTATGGGTCTTATTAGAGTGCTTTGTTTTGTCTGGTTTTCCGGCCGCTATATAGAGATCGAGCGTCATGTTCTGGGCATTAGTGGGTATTGAAGGTATGAGTTTAATCAATTTCTAGAGCGAACTTCACTAATCCACTGCAACACCGCTTGTATCATATTGTGACTGTATCAGGTGAAAGGGGTCAGTTAGTGTAACATCTATGGCGTAGTATCGAAATTGAAGTTGAAGTTGAAGCTCCCAAGCCTTGACTACATGGTCATTCGGTCCATGGTTGTATAAAAAGATGAGCCGGTTCCCGTTCGCCAATCTACATTGAAGACGAATACCGCAGTGTCGCACACATGCTAGTCCCTGCATCCGTTTGAAGGCACGAAAGAAACAGCACCGCGGGAATAGCAGGCGCTCGTAGGATCGCCCATCATCCCATGTATATGCGGCTGATCTAACCCACCGACGGTCCGTTGTAGAACTGGGTCAGAATGCTTGTGACGAACCCAGAACACTCTCAGGATATGACGTAGTCCGGATTCCGGTTCTGACCTCACCCCATTGTGTTTAGTCTCAAATAAGAGCTGACCCAATTGTTACAATCCTGAGAAGAGTATCGCCCTACTGATTTGGTTACCAACAACGAAAAACACCAAATTGCCACTATTGTAAGGCACAATAATGTGCAAATCATACAAACGGGTAGCTCCTTTCTGTGTCTTGTGCAAAGGAACCGAGGGAGAGGATTCGATTGGGTGTGGGGCTGGTCATCCAATCCATGAGGTGATGTCGACATTGGTTCGTGTTTCTACTCCGTGCGCGCTTCCCACTGCCGAGTGGGAAGACTTTGTTGTTGGTTCCAAAGTCTAAATAGCGTCAGGACTTGGCTCTCACTTCGAAATGCTAGGCGGTACCAGAGACGATGGGATGAAACCCCCAAAATAGGTCTAGCCTTAATGGAGGACCAGCATTGGCCTCGGCACATTTTTGTTTGGAGAACTGTCGTGATCTTTAATGTGTTCAGGAACGGGTTGTAGTTATCCTGGAGAGTCGGCATTGCAAATACATGTTCTCGAGACTGAGAGGAGGATGTGGCTCGCGGCGGGCACTCTGTCTCATGACTGCCTCGCTTCTTAAATTTCTAAGACGCTGAACACAAAGAGCCCATCTGTGAGTAGGTGCCATTCATCACTTGCTATTCTAATGGGTAATGGACCACGGTATGAGATAGTCAATTGCTCCGAACAGTTCTGTACTTTATTCATCTCAATCGGTCTTACATGCATCGTTACTAAATATGGTATCACTCCTCAAAATCAGTCTGATAACTGTAGCCGCCCCGCCCTGGTATCCCAACTCCCGCAATACCTCTTGTGCGCCCCAAATCATTATGCTCAAAGTAGCCGACGCCGTTCCTGCTAAACTTGAGTCCGTATTCGTACAATTACATCCGAATTGTCGTTTCAGCCATCGCCATCTCAAATCTCGTTCATGAAAAACCTGGCCTGGCTAATACCAGAAACGTCTGCAATGTAGAGGAGGCGACCTCTCAGATATCGTCTCTGTCTAGGTGTGGCGTAGTCGCTCTTCAAGGCCATGGCAAGCGGCCACATGACAATGAGTCCGGCCTCGCCCTTGAGCGGGTCGTCTGGCTTCGTCGTGCCGCAGGGAAACTGAGAAACAATGACGCCGTACCCATTCCAGCTGCAAAAGTACGGAACCGCCGAAACAATGTCGTCGACACGGGCGCTTGCAGAGTGTACCAGGTCTCCGTACTCGTCGTAGTCGTTCAAGCCTTCTCTACCAGCCGATGCCAACCACGAGCTAGCGCGGATCATTGTCGTGATGAGGTTGAGGTGAGACGACCATGTAACCAAGTGCAATACGGCCATGGGCAGGTTAAAGAACTTGAATACTTGACCGTCGAAGGTGAGTTCCGTATCAAGCTCTTCATCGGTTCGGTCAAAGACCCATTCAGCGACCTCGACCTTCCACTGTGGATTCGGGTTTTGTCGGAGCTTCTTGAACTCTTCTTCGAGTTTCCGACACTTTTCCAGGAGCTCGAGCATCTTTTCCACAGCCTCTTCGGTAGGCTCTCTCGCGAGGGCGATGATGCGGTCTACACCCTGCTGAAGTTGGTTGCAGAGAAGGCTGATGTCGACGATCGCGCGATTCGGTCGTTGAACCGCCTCGTTGTACAGTATCCACGAGTAACCGGACATTTCTGAGTCCTTGAACATATTCTGGACCGATATGCATTGGTTGCGTGTCATGGCGAACATTTCCCGACCTTCGTCCGTCTCTAAGCACTTTTGGCCGCGTACTTGAACAATCTTGGCGGCGCCCTTCAGATGGCTGATGTACTCCTTCATTGAATCTTTTGACATCAATGTCTGAAAGATGTCAGTATAAAGCTGCGCTATGCCCACGATGTAAGCTCACCTCGTAGAACGCCAACATAAGAACGGCCCCCAGGGTCTGATCACTGTCGATCTCCTTAGGATCGGCAATCGCTTGCCCGACCGCTCGTAAAGCGGCCACATGGTGCTCCTGTGCACGAAGTAGGGCAGGTCCTCTTGCTCCTTTCGACTGTCGCATCGCCAAGGCGGCCATGGATGTTGCCTTAAATGCAGTTGAAAGGCAGACTGAGATCTCGCCACGCCCGAGAAAACGTGGCAGAAAGGCGTAGTAGCCCCGAGCTGTCGGTGTCAAAGGTACGTTGACAAACTCGGAGAGAAAAAGACACGAGGCTTGCTCGTCGAGCGGATTTGTCAATCCTCCTGGTACGTTTTTGAAGCATTCGATGAGGTCACCCTCTTCGTGTCCGATCTTGAATGGGAACGAGTTCCGTCTTGGTGGGCTTAATGACATTGTCCTATCACAACAGTATCCGGGTGATCTGTTGTTTGCTTTTATCGACGAGTCGATGGACGACATGTTACTATCGGTGCTATTCGTTCTCATATTCTTGAGTTTGCCGGCGGACTTTGACGAATCGCGAATGACAAGACCGTATCCTGGACAACGTCTCTTCGACTTCGTGCATCTCATGCAGAAGGGCTTTGCCTCATCGCATTTGACCTTTCTTATCCTACACAACTTGCATCCGCCCGAAGGCTTCCCCGTGTAGACCATGTTAATGAGGTGTCGTATATTCCGGCAGTATGTATGATTGAATGAACAAGGAAACCGAGAACGACCCAAGATTAAAGGAAGGCGGGAGATGAGCTGAAGAAGGGGAAGGGAATCAAAGGGCAGACCCTGCGGCTGACTCGAGCAAGCTTTCGAGCTTGTCGCCTCTAGGGTTTTAAACCAGAGAGCCGGGAGATCAGTATCCTTGGCACCCCTCCGACACGGACCAAGATCAGAATGGAGTGTTACTCAGGTCATGTGATGAGACCAGGCTGCTTCTGGTCAGGGTTACCGCTGGAATTGCTATCACAGACTTAGGTGTTGGCCCCTTAGGTAACGGGTCGCGTCCTTCCCGTCCGCTTGAGCACGAGTGTCCGAGGACGGCATGCGCATGATGTGATGCCGGTGCGCTCGGTTAGGATGCAAGCCAAGATCACAGATCCCATCGTGTTTTGCATCTGGGCTATTTACAGCTTGAACTATCCGCGGAACATTCGTTTGGATCTGATACCCAAAATTGGGAACTAAAGCCCTCGCTTATGGCTCACTCGGCCGGGCGTGCAGGTGTGGAGGGCACCCAGGCACAGGAAGATTCCAAAAGATGCTGCAGCTTGGGTCTTCGTATCATCAGCAATCGCTGCAGGTAATGATGAAGCCGTGCGCGCTGTCATTGTGTGACAGGCATCGTAACGCATGTGCTCTTTGACCTTCCCACGGTCTCGGTCTCGCACGGAGAGAGACGACGTTTCAAAGACACTGAGAGTGAACCTGCTCAGCTCCCTTTTTCGGTGTTAATATATCGGCCGAGCGCCCTGGAGTTGTATCGTTTCACTAGGTCTCTGACGGATCCGAAAGCCACTACGCTTCATGATCCGAGCTCCATGGCGATCTGCTCCATCTCCTCCCTTCGTCCAGCTTCCGCGAAGAGACGAACGTTGAGTCACACGGGGCAGCTACAAGCACTTGATGGCTGCACAATAAGGATGACGTTGGCCATTTTTGACTCGCTTAGAACAAGGACTTTCCTATCTAAGTAGCGGAACGCAAAAGCTTGTTTTGATCTGGCCCGGATGTCCTCCACAACCCGGCCGAGTATGCCGTCCGATCAAGTGTCGAGGAAGCACTGGGAGAGAAAGCTTCGATGTCAAAGGAGCTTAGTACGGCTGGTGATACTACTAATTGCAAGGGCGATCAGACGTAGCCTGTGCAACCTGTTCAACATGCCCAATGATCCCTCACATACCGGGTTTGGAAAGGTCTGGTCGAGAGAATGCTGTGACTGCGTTCATATGTCGAATTGAGCGAATAAATTTGCAGTTCAATGACGCCTAGATGTGGAAGTCAATACTACGAAGCTATCAGACTAACATCACAAGTTGGAAATTCTGAATTTACACGGGTTGTTCAACTTCGACTGGAAGGTTCTTGGCACAGAATACTCTAGTTCGGAGAAGATATTTGAAAACGAATGTGTTCGGTTCTTTTAGCATCACTCAAGTGAGGGTAGAAAATAGTATGAATGAATCGCGAACAACTGGATGGCCGATTCCGATTTTGCTCAATAACGACCGTCAGATCAAACCGCAGGATACAAGAAAGTTATTATACGTAGTCTGGCAGGAAAGACCTTTTGCCGATTTGCTTTTTTCAGCATCGCAGGGTCGCACGTCACAATGATTGTATTCAATCGCTTCATTTCGATTTGCTGGCACGACAAATCTTCAGCGCTGAGACATAGAGGAAGGACTTGAAGTTGAGAGTATCGATGATGGTTTCTTTGAGTTGCCTTGAGACATTTGATTCATCGCATCGTCCATACTTACCTCGAAGTCACGAAGAAGCCCGTCATTCTCAGTGATCATGATACGAGGCACAGCCTGCACCATAACATCCATCAACAAAAGCAAAGCAATCTCAACCCGCATCCTAAAGAGTTGTTGTAGTTGAAAATCTCAGACTATGATTATGTTCTTCATAGGTACTTGTAATTGTCAGTGGACAGGTCATGTCCTCCTCGCACCAGGGCGGCGCTAGGACTGATCTATATGGACCAAGGTCCATCGAGCGTCATTGTGATACGGCTAATCAAATGCCGCTCGGCAGGAATTTGATATCGAACCCGAGGAACTTCAGTAATCAACAATTGTTTGGTCAAATGAGATAATTATCGAACTATTTGATAATGATAAGCTTGAAATCTTCATACAGAGAAACGTGCATCGCGTAGCAGATCCTCTGCCTAGCCCAATCAGAAGTGATCTTCGGCAGAGTAACTCGGATCCTGCCGTGAAACGGAACTTTGCAGATCGGAGTATTCAACAAGCTCCTAAGATCTCATATCGTCGACGGCGTCAGATTTTGTCGAAGGGGGTCATCCTAGGTCGCATTGTTAAGATAGGCAATAACAGCCCTGAAAGACCTTGATAATGCCTGTATGTCTCTGAAATGAAATAACGTCCGGCGAGGATGACTGATCACAGGCCCAACATCAAGGACAGCTCGTCAAATGTTACCGGCCGCGTAAGTCAAGTGTATACAAAGTCGTACACAATCAGTCGCGTCTGAATGTATCACACCTTTTTCAAACAAAGGCATGTGCCTAGTCTCATTCGGTATTTCGTCTTTCGACAATTAGCATATGATAGGAAACACTTCGGATAAGTAGGAATGTAGGTTTAAGTTGCGATTTGCAGTATTTGCTGCCCAACAACCCAGATACACAAAACGCGAAAATGGATTAGGGTTCTCGGTTTCTTAGCCGTGTAAAACTCTGCGTTGGAAAGTTGCGGTCCTCCGGAGGGGTCTTTGCTGGTCTTATTCGGTGATAGAGTTTAAGTCCCGGGAAGACCCCCATGGCATAATTTGGACAACTTTGAGTTGTATCTAATCATGGTTTGACCCCGCCCGGGAGATCGTACATATCAAAACTTTCATTAGGGGAGTCTTTTGACTGCTCATAGCTAAAATTCAGGAAAATTACGCGGTTCTAGGGCGGATATAATATTATCGGGCGGAGGTAGGCTGTTACGACCCAACATGCATGACCAAGAACAAGGTCTGCCCCGCAGGCTCTGCCCCGCAGGTTCGCGGTGGCTACAGCGCACCATGTATGCAGAGGACAAGGAACACTAGGCACCCTCTCACGGAACGGAAGAACTATGGTACAAGTCACGTGATGATAAGATAAGACATGAGCGGCCATGGTGGGGCCATGAGCGCTCATGCCAAGTAATGAGCGCTCATGGGACTGCAACTTCTGAACACATACCTCGAAAGGTACCCACTGTTAGTAATTGTTAAGGTTATAGAGGGCTACGGCCCACTGCACTATCATCTCTCAACATCAGCCCATACGAGCTGAATTCCACGACCATGGCGGTCTCCCTAGATGTAGGGCCATCGATCACGGTTCACGGGGACGCCGGTATATTTCGGCGGTCGGGACGAGTCCGGAAGCCGACTGCCAAGGTCAGAGTGGTTGAGCAGGTTAACCACCAGGACAACTCTGAGCTTAGAGACGAGATCAACAAGCTTTCGAATCTTGTCCAGGACCTCCTACGTCGGGACGCCGAGAGGGAACAGTTTTTGAAAGACTGTTTGACGAAGATCGAATCCTTGGAGAGAGAACTTCAGGAGGAGAAACAGCGTTCAAACCGGCATCAACGTGGTCTAGCAAGGTCTATGCACGCTATTGGCACAGGGCCTAGCGAGACTGACCTGAGTTCCCAGGGGCATCCCTCGCACACAACCCAGAACCAGCCGCCCCCAGTCCGTTCATACGCGGCGGCGGCGAGCCAGCCACTGTCCAGAAGACAGGATGAACCAACGCCAGCCAAACAAGCCGCAAAACAAGCTACAAACCGGGCGGCCTTAAAGGATCTACGCGTCTTCGCGCGTCTATCGCCTGAAAGCCCGCTTCGGAACGAGAAAGCCTACGACATATACATCTTCGTTCGGGAAAGGCTAAGTCCCCAAGCCCGAGAAGCCCTCAAGGGGGTCGACCATGTCAAGACAGGATTAGCACTCCTACCTTCGTCAATGGATGGTGCAAAAGTCCTGCTAGAGAACAGAGAACAGATCGCTGCCCTTCTCCAAGCGCAAGCGATCGAGCAACGCGATACCTGGATCCGAGCCTATATCGCAAACGTCCCTTACACCAGGCATTGTCTGGTAACCAACACTGAGCTGGAAATCACGACCGAGGAGCTCCTTGAAGAGATCCAGGTCTCGACGAAACTCAAGCCTGAAAAAGCACACTTCTCTAGGAAGGACGAAGTCGAAAGGCTAGGCACGGTGACAGCCTGGTTCAAGGCGGAAGCCGTAAGGCAACTACCAAGACGCCTCCGTTTGATGGGGGCCAGCGTTTTTGTAAACCTGCAGTTCCCGAAGGAGAAGAGGTCTCCTCAATGTCTCCGCTGCGGCGGTTTTCACAGCGAACGAACGTGCACCAGAAGGAAGAGATGCCTCAAGTGCAGCTCTCCTTCCCACACAACTGATCAACACCGGGCACCCTGCGGCGGCACTGAGGGTCACGATGGCTGCGACTGCCCCTTTAAATGCCCGTCGTGTAACGGGCCTCACGCCGCCTTCGATGCGACTTGCCCTATCCAACCCAAAGTGGTGAAGGGGGTAGTCCAGAGGAGGGATAAGGCTCAGCTACGGGCCATCCGAGCTGAGGGAGAAAGATTATGGAGAAATGCGACCCAGCAGTCGCATCGACATTCCCGTGAAGAAGAACAAGCGATGGACTGTACCCCGGCGAATGAGACACAAAAGAAGAATACAGCCCTCTAAAACCCTGCAAATCATGCAAGCGAATGTGGGCAGGCGGGCATCCGCCCACGAAACAGCACTGAACCTGGCTTACGCAGCCCAGATCGATATACTCCTAATACAAGAGCCGTCTATCCGTTCGGAAGAGAGGAGGCTCACAAGACACCACCCAGGTTTTGAGACTTTCACCCCAGTAGATAACTGGACCGAAGACCGTCCCAGGGTACTTA